TCATGGTTCGGGTCCTCCGGGTTTGGTGCAGTCTCGGATGCTGCTTGTGATGGTCCGGCTGTTGGTGCTGTTGTGTCAGCGATCGGATTTGTGGTCCAGGGCAAGATGACAGGGTTGAACAAGTCTGGCGAGAGGGAGCCCACTATCTTGATCAGGCGGCTCTCTGTAACACGCGACAGCATGACATACAGCAGGTCAGGTGTGAAAGCATCCCGGGCATGGATGATTGTGTGTGTGGCGAGGGTTGCACCCTGCATACAGCATGAGCAATCCAGGTGGGGTTGTGGTGGTGCGGATGGCACGGTTAGCACAGGGTGCTTGGACGAGTATGGACATGCTGCCGTCCATGCATGTAAGGCTGGCTAAATGTCAGCAACAGAAGCTCGCACCTGTGCATGGTGTGTTGTTATTGCCCATGCAAGGCAGAGGGGGAAAGTGGACTTGAAGTATCAGACACCATTCAGGATCTTGTAGCGGGTGACACTGCATCCCAACGTCTTCCCTGTGGTTGCTAGCTGGACCTTGACTTTATCGACATGGCCATCTGCATCGAACAGGAGCTCGGCCACATTGCCAGTCGTGCCATTGGCGGCTCCACGGGCCAGGGAGACATTGTCGGTTAAGCAGACAAGCACGCCAATGGCCATGCATGGCAGCGTCCGAAACGTGGGCTCCTGGAGCCATTGGTCCAGGGCCAGCATGGCGTCTGGGGCAGTGACATTGTGGGACAGGGGACAGGGGCATACTTTGCCGAGGGCGGTGCCTTCCAGGCACCGCAGAATGGTCAGGTTGTGCTGCAGCGCGTCCTCCTGATGGGTACACAGCACTGTCGCGTTTGCATTGCATGTGGCTGCCACCTGTGACTCCCCGATGAAGTGCATGTTGTCCGGTGCACACACCCCAAACACAGCATCCAGCTCGGCCTGTGTGGGGGTGTGCTGCCGGATGATATCAAGCAGGCTGCTGTAGGCCGGGTCCTTCACATGCCGTACTGAGACACTCAAGTGTAGGCGTGTGGCGGTGTGCCAATAGGGCGAGGCCGAGATGTGGCATCATCGGCACACAGCTGTGGCAGGGGGTTCATCCTCGTGTGTGCACTGATGCTTGCAGACAGGCGCCAGCTGTGGAGGTGCAAGTGAGGGGGAGGGGGAGGGGGAGGGGGGGAGGGGGGCGCAGTAGCAGGCCGATGACAGAGGGCAGCATGCGACAAGCACTGTAAGTGCATGGTGTGGAGGCTGAGCACCATGATGCCTACTTCCCCTGAATGGCAGTACTGTGCACAGGTGTGCACCTGTGCATCATCGCCAACTAGGATGATGAGCTTCTTGCGCAGCATGGCATTGATGGAGGGCTCTTCACTGGCATGCCACAATGTGATGAGAATGTGCATCAAGTTCTCTGCAGTCATCATGGAGAACTCATCCAGGATGAGGACATCTGCTGCCTGCAGCACTAGCACCCGCACATCTGTGGTGCGCATCTCCCGCATACAGGCCGTGGGCCGGTGCTGCTGGCTGACAGGCAGGTTGAAGGCGGTATGGTTGGTGGTGGCAAACTGGCTCAAGCGCACAGCGGCTGCCCCTGTGCTGGCGGACAGGTGCACCGATTTCCCTGCAGCCTGCAGCAGTCGTGTGAGCTTCTTGGTCACGAACGTTTTGCCACAGCCTGGACCGTCGCTCAGCACCACAATGCCAGCCTGCTGCGCCAGGATAGCGGTGACGACTGCATCCTGCTGTGGCGTGAATGGCAACTCATCAAGTCACCGAACTCCGCAGCCAGGGCATCCAACCATGCTTGCAGTGCCCGCTGGTCATGGCTATCCTGGAGCACAGGCTGCTCCTTGGGGGTGGAGCGTGTAAATCTCTACAGGCGGCATGCTGAGGTCCAGATGGCCACACGCCTTGCCAATGGGGCCAGTCTGCAGCACGTGCCGTGTGCAGCTTGTGGGTGGTGACGAGTCGATGTACTGCACACCGGCTGACATTGTCACCTGTCAGCAGGTGCGGTATGGCAGCACAGATCATGGGTAAGCACAGGTCATATGATGCTGCAGAGCAGGCAGCCACATAGTGCATTGCTGGTACTTACTGTGTGGATGTTGGCCGCAGTCAGGTATGCCAGCGTGGGGCTGATGACTATGGACGCCAGGTATGCTGATATGAGGCGCACGAAGTAGTCACGACCTGCTGCACCCGTGCTGCTGTCCGCTGGCACGCCCAGTGCCACACATGACACAGCAGTGAGATCCACATTCCCCACTGGCTCCGTCTGGAAGCAGCATGCAGAGAGGGCACAATCGCGCGCGTGTCAGAGCCATGGCAACGATTGGGTGGTCTTGTGTCAAGGCACAGGTAGCCACCACAGCAGCCTGGCAACGGACTGCAGTGGTGCAACCTGGAATCAGCGCACCATATGCACGCACCTTCATAGTGTACTTCAGCATGTAGAAGGACCAACTCGCAGAGTTGATCCGCTGTATATTCATGTGGGGCCCCCACAGCAGTGCCAGCGTGGGGTGGTATGGGACCACATTCCGATGCGCCTATGATGGCTGATAGTACTGGTAGCACAGGGTCGCGGGATCGATGGTGGGAGTGGGCTGGTGGAATGGTGCCCATGGGAACTTGTACTTGCATACACCGGATGCACAGCAGCCAGCATGGCTGCCAGATGAGCAGATGTGCATCTGCTTGCGCAAAACATGTTGTAACAGGTCGTGCTGGCAGGGCTCTTCAGGCTGCTGCCAGTACTCTGCTGTGTAGGGGCACAATGGATGGCTATCATCCCCACGGTACACAGCGGGCACACAGGTGACGATCTCCGATGCTACCCAGTCCACATCCTCAGGGTGCACCCACAGCACAATGTGCACATGCAGGCTGTGCCGGTTCTGAACCTTATAACGCACCACCCAGTTGGTGACGCAGCTAAGGGCCCCGCCAGCCTGGACTGCCCCGCGGCCCGCCTTCAGCACGTCGGTCATGAAGGACTGCACACGCTTGTGGGTGATGAATGCGTTCTCAGCTGGGGCGTCTTGCCATGTGAAGCCAGCACAGAAGCTGCAGACAAAGGACAATGGCACAGCACAGCTGGAGCAGTGCATTCATGGGTGATGGGTGACCACCTGGCATGCTGAGCGGGGACAGGAGGCGGACGGCGCCATGCAAGGATGCCTTCCAAGTGATGCAGTTTGAATTAGTGAGCCCCCCCAGCCGTGCGACTTACTCCTGCATCTTTTGCTCCAGCGACTCGACTTCGGGCCAGCGTGTGGCTGACACTTCGTCGGTTGTGAGGGTGAGGAAGAATGATGGCATGCCAAGGCGGTCCACCATGCACAGCAAATCTTGAAGGTTACTGCGGTGCCATGCAGGCGTGTTGGGCAATGTGGCCGGGAGCTTGTGCTTGAGAATGTGATGGATGGCGTCCTCATCACTCACATTAGGGTGCTGGGACTTGTAGTCGAGGAGCACACTCTCCAGCACGGCCTGTACATGCAGGCGGGGGTGATGGTCATGCCATGAAGTTCTACATGCATGTTGCTGCTCTCAACCTGCAAATTGTAACAGCTGGGCGAGCATCCCTGTAATACCCAGTAATACCCAGCCTTCCTCCCTAACACAAACACCCTGGGAGCCTATGCGCCAGTCGGGGAACTCCGCCACGCACTTGATGCTGGCGGCTTCAACTCGCTCCGTATCCGGCTCCGACATGACGGCGGAATGCAAGCTGTCGCGGGCCAGGGAGGGCGCCGCACCGCCGCCGGTAGCGCCGGCGGTGGCGGCGGCGCCGACGCTGATGGACATCCTCGCGACGTCAAGCCCCAGCAGGTGTCCGCCGCCGCCGCCACCGCCAGTGACACCCGCGTACGGCGTCGAGCTGCCGCTGGCGGGTGGGTATCGCGGCGACAACGGCCCTGGTGGCGGCGGCGACGACGGTGCCGTCGCCGCCGCTGACGCCCCGCCGGGCAGGTCGTCTGCGCTGGCGCCGTGACGCAGCGTCGGGAAGAGCATCGCGACGCTGCCAAAGGCACCGCCAGCGGAGCCATGATGCGAGTTCCTGGTGTGTGAGGCCGGGCCTCTGGTGCCGCTGCTGCTGCCCATGCTGTTGCTGTGGCCATGGTGAGGCCCATGCCCGTGTCCGTGTCCGTGTCCATGGCTGTGGCTGTGACCTTGGCTATGGCTATGAAATAGATGATGATGGTGGTGATGATGGAGGCCCTGGCCCTGGCCATGCCCCGCGCTTTGGCTGTGGGAGAGGCCGGAGCTGTTACCCACGGAGGAGACATTTTGAAATACCCAATGCTGGGATGCAGCGGAGGATCCGCCGCCGCCGCCGCCACCTGCTGCTGCTGCGGCGGCTGCGGCGGCGGCGGCGGAGTCTAGTGATGGCAGGCTTTCCGGCATCGTGGTAAGGGACGGCATGGCGTCCTGCCAAGGCGAAAATTTTCGGACCGGCGGCGAAACGAAGAAGAATTTTCAAAATGTGGCGCGCTCACACACAAAACTCCTATCTCCCACGCGATTCATAACGAACGCCACAACCGCCGCAGTGGACGTTTCGAAAAAAAATCAATCTGGTGACTGCAAACGTCCGCTTTTTGTCGCCGCCAGACGGCAGTTACCCAGCGGAATCACAGAAATTAACACACTCTGCACACACGCACACACTCGTGCACGCGCACTCGCACCTGCAGGCTGTCGAACACTCCCAGCTGCTGCTGCTGCTGCTGCTGAAGCAGCACCGCCCCGGCGCGCCGCACACCACGTGTCGGCGACGCCACGAACATAGCACCCGCGCCGCCACCGCCGCCACCACTGCTGCTGCCGCCAGGCAGCATGCATCATGCATGGCATCTATAGCAAACCCGCCACACATTCACCTCTGTATTTTGCTCTTGCAGCCGGGCACTCTGGCGGAGCACATACATGAGCAGCAAGTACGGCTTTTGCATAATGTCCACACACTGAAGAGGCACTTGGCGCGGTATGCTAAGTACTTGACCAGGGTCGTGTCGCCCATAAACGCGCCAGCACCAAAGGGAAACAGATAGGGGAACATGGCCATCTCCGCAGACAGGCCAAACCGATAGTCCAGTGGGGTCCCGTCCGTGGCAACAGCCAGGTTGAGCTCAGGCCGAGTGGGTGATCATGGAACCAATGTGGTGTACATCACGGGTGCATGCTTCATGGCTGCATGCTGGATGGCAGGCACAACCACAGATATCAGCGAGTGAGCTGCCTCTGCAGTTTCCAGGGTGGCCAGCACAAGTGGTTTGCAGGCTTCTTCACTGGCGACAAATGATTGCATGTCAGCTGGAGAAAGGTATGGCAATGGGTGCTTGGGCGGGACTTGTTCAGCAACGGTGAGGAACTCCCTGACGAGCGGGTTGTGCTGCACGCTCCATCCCAGCACCTCCTGCAGTGCTGGGGGCAGCATGTTGACCCGGCGCGTGGAGTCGTGTGCCCAATCCAAGACCAGCGCTTCCATGCAATGCTGCTGTCGAAGCTTGGCAGCAACAAATCCAAAGGCCGCTGGAAAAAAACCAAGTCCAACATCCACTAGGCCTATCCACAGGTGGTCGATGGTGTCCAACGACACGATGGCCTTGGTATAGTCTGGTGGATGGAAGACCAGAAACTCTGCTCGCTCATTGCCACTGTTCGCTGGATGCAGGGGAGCACAGTGCGGACACAGGCGCCACAGGCCTTCGGGTGTGGTCATGCTGCCGGCATGCAAGCTGTTGTGGAATGAGTATGGCGCAATGCCAGCACCCACAGGCTCCACAGTGGCCCATCACTTGAGGTCATCGTGCAGGTCGGTGCTGGTGACACCACACACAGCGCACACCACAAGTGCACTGGCCAGCAGCATGCTTGTGACAGTGCTCCAAGCCGCGAGCTGGGCGGAGATGCCGAGGCTGTGGCCCGGGCCACTGCACCAGGATGCTCCGAAGTACCCAGGGATGTGTTGCTCAGCATCTGTTGCAGCAGGACTGGGCGATGGCACTTCAGATGGACGACGGTGCTGCTGGCGTGTTGGCCCGCTTGCACTGCTGCGGCTGCTGCTGCTGCCACTCCTGCTGCTCCTTGCACTGCTGCTCCTGCTGCTGCTGCTCCAGCTGCTGCTGCTGCTGCAGCTGTGCTTGCTGTGATGACTGCTGTGTCGCTGCAAGCAGCCGCCGCATCTCAACTGCAGGTCTGTGCTGATCAGCCCATTCCACCAAGACCTGCTGCACAGTGAACCCACAGCGGCTGTCCATCCCATGCAGGACAGCACACACTTGACCAGCCCGCTCGGCTGACGGTGTTTCTGACATGCAGAGGCCAACCGTGCAACAAGCCGCGACGAGATGCTGGCGGTGTTGCCCTGTCCACACACCCGGTACCAAATCCAACAGGTGGTAAGACACGGGGGTGCCAGCGAGGCCCATCTGCCGGATGAGGCACACCTCCATTGGCGCTGTGCTGGAGCCCCAATAGCACATCTGCAACCCATCTGGGTCAAACACTGTAAGTGCAATGTTCAGAGCATGGGTGAGAACCGCCAGCTCGATGGCGCCTGGCAGCAGGCGGTGCTGCTGTAGAGCTTCTCCATATTGCTCCACCGTGCAGGTGCTGGGTAGGCTGCTGGCATGGGCATGTAGCACTTGGAAGCGCATCATGTCCCAAGACTCGGTAATGGCTCCCACCACTGTCGCCAGCAGAATGTCTGGCGCGGGCACATCAGTGGCACCCATGGCAATGAGAGCATGATGCATGCAGTCCAGACACGTTGCATGGGCATCAAGCGGCATGACAGCACAGCCGCTAATGTCGCTGCATGCATACAGTGGCACCGGAAGTTGGCCTGCATAGCAGCACGTCAGCAGTGAGCCCCGTTTCCAAGATGATGCGTGTAGACTTGGATGTAGATCAGCAGTGCCTTCAGAACAGCCCGAACCGTATTGCCACAACTGCAGCAAAGCCCTCGACACTCCACGAATCACATGCCCACATTGGCAGGCGCTTACCGGTGCTGCAGAATGGGTCAACATTTTCTATGCGATCGCGGGTTGGTTGTGAATCGATTAGCATGGATGTCCTGTCGGCTGTACCGCCGTCGCACACTGAACCATGCGGACCTGTCGGATGGGGTATTATGCAGCAGACAGTTACGCAGCCATTGTAGCTGTATATGGACACGGTTGGCGGTTGAAATGCACCTCGTGATCCCACTTTCCACTGTGACAGTCACCAGGATAGGAAATGGCATAATGTTACATTTCTTGGTCACTGAATAGAGGCGGACTAATGTGGGCACGTACCAGATGAGCGGTCATTCGATATACCACGGCCATAACCACAAGTATGCCGCCCCTTGGTTCTCGCCTTACCACGTAAACGCTGACCGACATCCGTCGCCCAGAAGCGCGCCGCGTCTTCATCTGCAGAGGCACATGGATGCTTGGTTGATTCTTGAGATGCGACCCCCGGTCTTTCGTGCTCGGAAGCCTGCACTCGGGTACGGATATGTTGGCGATGTTGCATAGACGCTGCACCTCGGCTTCCGTGCGGAATGCGTACGATGGTCGACCCCGCCGACCAAAACTACACATGCTCAACTGAAGATATTCCCGGTGGATGTTCAGCAGCGCTTGAGCCTGCTGCTGGCTGACGCCCTTTCGGAGCTGCTGCAACACGTCTAACGCAGGCACGGCCGTATGCGCAGCAAAGAGCTGTTCCATGCCATCAGCGGCGTCCATGTTACTTACACGGTTCCGAACGACTTATCTGTTCTGTTGTTTAAGTTGTGTATGTTATATTTTTCCGCGTAAGTTTGTAATTTGACTTCACCCGAACAAGGGGCTGTATGCGTTGCGCTACCGAAACCGCGCCCGTTTGTTTGCACAAAGTGCCGCTTCGCCAGACGCTTCCTCTTCCCCCGGCCGTTTCATGCGCCCAGTCTTGCAAGCTACGTTGTTTGCTTTCTGTGCTTTCAGTTACGGCAAAGCAGGCACCCCATTGTCCGGGCTGCATGCCGCGTGCGACTGTGGCCAACATGCCCTCCTGCGCACCGCGCTGACACACTGCGGCCTTTCTTCGCCAAAAAAAGACATACACTTGTACACGCGCATTTTGCGAATCGCACGCGCGCATCCGCGCCATAAAATTCGCTCCTGGCTTTGGGCCGTCTTGTACGGTCTGTTTATTCGGCACAGTACGACCGGACACAATTGTGCGAGCCTCGCACTGCGAGGGGCTGCTTAAAAAGTCGGCTTTAACCGGCTTTGTTTAAAAATCCTAAGGTAAATTTACATTGCCTACTTGGGAAAGCAATTACTCGGTCCAGTGTCTTGGTGAACGGTATTAACGGAATCCCTGGGCTTTGGCGTAATTATTCGTACAGGGACAACCATTTTACGACTTCCGACCAGTAGCAAAGCACAGCTTCCATCCTGAATCATAGCATGCATCTCGGGCGTTCTAACCCCTCCATCCTTTGAAAGCGAGGCTTGGCCGCTATGGATACCCTGGTTACAGTTGGCGCCATAATTGTGGCAATAGCCCTTAAGCTGCTATTCTTCTATTTTTATGCTAAAAATGCAGAAAAGAAAGCGCCAAAGAAGTCTGAACCCTTCGAGTTGGTGCAGAAGGCACCTGACGGCGCCATTAGGAAGCGCGTGCTGGTCACTGGAGGCTGCGGGTTCCTGGGAAGGTAGGACGTGCCAAATGGCATGCATTGGATCTATAAGAACAGGGTTCGTTGGCCTACGTCGGTTGTCCCCACGTTGTCGTCGTCCGAACGCCGTTTGTAGGGAAACGGCAGACCATTGCATACATAGGCTGGCACCTTTTATGCTATGGTGCATCATGTTTCGATTCCTCTATCGGCGACGAGTGTTAAGTACGCTATGACAACCGATAATTAACGGTCCTTTGTTGGGCTTGTCCTGCTGCATACAGCGCCATCGTACGCCAACTAAACGAACGTCTGGGCAAAGATGTCTCTGTCGTTGTTTTGGACGTCTCTGTCACCGCGAAGTTTGGCGAATTGCTCCCGGACGTTACGTACTACAGAGGTGACATCTGTACGTACTCTCATGTCCGTGCTGCCGCCGCGGATTGTGCATGTGTCGTACACACTGCCGCGCTAGTCGTCAGTTCGGTCGTCAAGGATGCAGCAATGATCCGTGTCAACAAGCAAGGCACCCGAAACGTCGTGGAAGCCTGTCTGGAACGGGATGTGAAGGCACTGGTGTACACTTCATCAGGTGTGATTCATGTGCGTTTGGTAGACGTTGCAGTATAGAGACTGCCTAGGACACGTCACAGGTTCTTCCTCCCCAACGAGCAAAGGATGGACTTCGAGTAAGATGCTTCGCGTGCGGAAATATCAGCGTCTTCGCCTATCACGACATGCAAGCAACCAGCTACAACATGAAACACAATGCTGCAACGTAATTTGCGTATTCCAGGTCATCTGCAAGGGATTCGCCTCTGGTATGGCCATCTGCCGGTGTTTTTCATGATCTTCCTTGCACTCTATCCCCTTGTCTCCACGGGCTTGTTCCCAAGCCTCGGTGGTGTTCAGCAGGTCCTTAGCTCGTCCGTCGGGCGGAGGCGGTGTTAAGGAGCCCATTTCCGAAAGGACCGAAGCGCTAATGCCTGAAGACCTGAACGGTGCTTACCCTCTCTCCAAGGCAGAAGCTGAGAGGCTGGTGCTGGCGGCCAACAGCCACGTATTGCACGTGGTGGTGCTGCGGCCAGGAGGAGTATACGGCATTGGGGAAGAGGTACGGACGCAGAATAACGTAACAGCGGGTGTGCTATGAATGGCGATACCTTTGTCGGCCGCCGGGATTGTTAGAGGGGATACAGTCTGTTTCGCAATGCCGTCCTTGGCCATACATGTGCGTGTCTCTTTGCATCTAGTGCTGCGATCTATAGCCTTGGCCAGCCCGATTGCAGTTGTAACATGGGGGGTTTGAGCCTGCTTTGAAAGGTATGCCGTGCGATCCTTACACATGTTAGTTTGCAGCGTCGACCCGTCCATGCACGTGTGGGGATTATGATGCTATGAATAGCGCTGACCTAACGTACCACCTCGGCTGTTTTATTGTTTTGTGTTCCCTGGGCCCCCGACTGCTTCGTCTCACATTTCCCTCATAGGCCCTGGCGAAGAGCATCCTCAATGGCCAGCCGTACATCGGGCCAGGGGTTGCCCGCGTGCCGTTTGTATGGGTGGAGGATGCCGCGCGCGCGCATGTCGACGCAGTGGAGAAGCTGCTGTTCCCGAAGCCAGACGCTCCACGCATCCACGGTCGGGTTTATCACCTGTGCCATGACCCGGTGCGGGACCCTTTCCGATACAGTGAATTCGCCGGCGGCTCGTTGAATGCGGAGTCAACTGCCCACAAGGATGCCGCAGTGAAAGCGGCGGAACGGGAGGCGGGTGTCACAGACCCGCCGCCTGGGATCAATGCTTACGGCCGGCGCTGCAACCCGTCTTGGCCGCGCGCCTTCTTCGGCCTACTGGCGCACATTAACTACTTTGTGGGTCAGACGATGGGGGCTGTGCTCCTGCACGCCAGCCTCACCCCAAGCAACTTGCTGTACTCGACTAACGACTGGCCATGCGACGTGTCAGATGCTCGTCGTTTGTTGGGCTGGGAACCGACGCCGTGGCGGGTGGTGGCAGCGCGCCTGGGGATGGAGGCGGTTGCTGGAACCGCGAGAGGCGGCGTGCATGGCGTTGGAAAGACCAAGACGGCATGAGTAGCGCAGCGATGACGTATTCATGGCATAGCGCGTATCAGGGGTGGCTCGGGGATAAGCTAGTAACCGCAACTCATTCGCACGCGCAAGTGACCCGGCGGCTTGTATAGTGAAAGGAATGGATTAGGCGTGCGTACCGGTTTCGGGGTGTCGTCGTAAAGAACAGATGGTACTTGGATGCGGTGTCGACTGCGGAAGTGCTCTCCCAGCTCGGGCTGGTTGATTGTTTGTCCCCCATAACCTTCTTTCCCTTTGACCTAAGTGCCTACGCTCTCATGCCGTATCTCCGCTCAAGGCGGCACGTGACCAAGTGGCCCAGGTGTGCGGCCGGGTATCGGTGTAATATGGGACCACTGTAGTGAAGTCTGCAGAGGTCGGCGTACCAGCGCCTGAAGAAAGAGGGATGGTTTCCATTCAAGCCACCAGCCTTTAAAACATCGTTGACGGTCATTGAAGCCGCGGGTGTCTATGCTACTTGCGTATTTAGACGGGACGGTGCACAAAACTATCCGGCTGCAGGGTTGCATATAACATCAATGGTATTCACCGCACAGGTTATGGCAGCAACAAAATTATGGTAATGTGTATAGACTTGAAATGCCGAATGGTAAGAGCCCCGAAACCTCACTATATCGACCGCAACCTTCACGTACTGACCAGGTAATATTATCTTATTAAATTCGTTCAAAAGGTTCGTTGCGATGGCAGCAGTTATCACAGTGTAGCTTGGTTCAAGATGCCTTGCTCTCTACGGAACGCGGTGTTACCTGGGTTGCCGCTGATATCCGGTTTGGGTTCAAGCTTAGGATGGAATTCTTGCTTCCGCATTTGGACGAGTTCATATTGGTAAGGATGTTGGGCGGAGTTGCTTGTCCGCCGCCCCTTTTGCTCTAGCTCTTGCTGGACACTGAGCTAATCCAAGGTGTTTGTTCAAATTGTGCAGGACTTTGATGCCGAGGAAGCACTCTTGCAGGCCCAGGTGCTTGCGGCTGGCCAGGTTCAGACACAAGCGAGCATCCTTGCCGGCCCTGGTCTTGGTCCCTACCCTGTGAGGCATAACCGCAGCTTGCCAAATGCCGCCTTAAAGGCACGTGGGCGGCAACCAAAGCTTGCAGTTAGTGGAGTTCCTGCTGCAGCTGTGGAGCCTGTGCAGCTAGACTCCCAGCTGGATGCTCTTCGTCGTGAGATTGCCCGCCTTGAGCAGCAAAAGCAAAAGCAGGTCGCAACGAAGGCGGTGCCTGCTAGGCCTGTGTCAAGTGGTAGTGCCGCAGCTCGCGTAACGCAGAAGGGACCAAACGTGCCATCTCCAGGGAAGCCACCAGGTACTGCCAATGATGGCGGAGCTGCACGTCAAAACAGCCGTGATGCACAGCGCCAGCCTTCTGCGAAGCGGGCACGCGTGGCGCCCGCGCAAGCAAAACCTCCTACAGACGCCTCACGACCAGACACGCCAGCCAGTACAGGCACACTGATGGGAGCTCCAGCACCGGGAGCGACCGCACCTGTCTCTTTGGTACAACCAGCTGCAGGTACTGGTGGGCCTGGCCTGAAACAAATTGGGTCCAAGCGATCTGCAGATGAGGTCTCGGGAGGCCTCGTAGCACAGCAGCAGTCCTTGCGGCCCAGGCAGCAGCAACCTCAACCTCAACAGAGACCTCAGCAGCGATCCAACGAAGCGCAGCAGCAAGATGTCGCCCGCGAAGCGGCTGGCGCCAGCCAAGCCCAGCCGGCGATGCATCCATCGCTGTCAGCAGCCGCACCGCCTCAACTTGCCGGCAAGGGGAATCCTCACCCTAACGACAGTGGAAATGTTGTTGGCTCTGGGCAAGGGCATGCAACGTTGGCACAGATCGCAGCACAGCAACCTCCGGGTGGAAGTACGGGCTCCATGCTGCCTACTGCACAAAGGCCGCCCAGCCAATTGGGACCTGCGGCCCCGCGCAGGCAGGCGCGCGCCACCGGGCAGCGTACGGCTGCGTCTACCTCTTCTCCCTCAGCGATCGGCGGCTCTTCGAGCGCTGAACAAAATGGGGCAGCGACAGCAGGGATGCCGACGATACAGCCAGTTGCCACCTCTTATGGGGCTACGAGCGAAGCTACGGTGAGGGTCTCCATCACCAGCACTGCCGATGGCAGTCCGACGAAGTCGGGGGCAAATAGCAAGAGGGCAAGACCTGCAGCGGACGGTGCATCTGGCCCGGGCAATCCCAGTGAGCATGAGTTGGCGATAGGTTCCCCTAACGCGTTACTAACTGCAGGCAGATCTGCCAACGCAACCCAGCACGCAGGAGGACACGCTACGTCCGCAAACGGTGGCATTACAGACATTTGTCCGGAGGCACAGCTGGCCGCCAACGAGTTTCTCTTGTCTTTCATGAGCCAGATCGGCAGCGAAGAGCAGGGCCGCGGCGGGGCAGACCCGGCGGTGGCTTTGACACCACCACAGCACCAAGGTCTTGAGACAAGTGCAGAAGCACAGGAGCACTACGGCCAACAGCATCCGGAGCAAAGCCAACACCCAAATCCGCGAAGTGGCAATCCGGGGGACGGAAATGCCGGGTGCTTGGGAGCTGGGACGGGACAAAATGAGCACGGCGGCCATGCAAGCATAGGCGGCAAACCGTTGGCGGAAAGAGCGAAGAATGCACCAACTCCAGGTATGCGCCTTTTGGACGTCGTATGGGCGGTACCCGGGGTGTAGGAGTCCTTGTGAAGCCTTAATGGCAGCTGCAAAGCTGTGAGGAATGTTCATATGTTCACTAGTGAGTCAACCTGGAGGTTGGACATGGCCATAGTGGGCATCGTCCAACTGGTGTGGACTGCACCACTTCGGGCCTGTTTCGTGGTTGTTAAGATCCTTCGCCGAGGTAGGTGTTCGTCGGGCAGGTGGTCGAGGCTTTGTAACCCGGAACCTCCGCTTGGGGACCGCAGGGTGCGGTGGCGGAGCGTCAGCACGGCGTGCTGCGGCAGAGCGGACCAGCGCGGCGGTTCAGCGCTTGCGCCGGAAATCAAGTGGAGTGGCGGGGACGGAGCTGTTGCTCCGGACTGCAACATCCTCAGGGATGGCAGCAAACGGTGCTGCCCCTGTCGCCTCGGACGTTACTGCGGCTGCCGACGGAGGTCCTCCGAGTGTACTGGTGTGCGCCACCTCACCAACATACGCAGATGGAGTCGTGGGTGGCATGGCGGGTTTGCGAACTAGCATCCCGCAATGTTTGGGCTGGGACGAGCGTGCTACTGTCGTGATGCATACGCGCACTGCGATTCCACCCACAGGCCAAAAGCAACAGCAAGCAGTGTTGGGTACGGGAGTCGCTCCCACGGCTCAAACTGCTGCAGCAGGTGAGGAGTGCGCACTTGCAAGTACGGCGGAGGGAGAGACTGAGATCCAAGGGTCGTTGGGCGCGGTCTCATCTCCTGTAGCCCCGCAGACACTGGGGATCGGGCTGCGAGGCAGTCCGCCGAGGCAAGGTGCCCAGGGCTTGCTACCCGGGGCTGCAGGCCCCAGTAGGGCGGCAATGGCGTCAGGTGGCTGGCCCCCTGGGCTGCAGACCAGCGCCGCTGCACACATGCCCCGCTGGGTGCAACCACACAGCGGCAACTTAACCCTCTCGACAGACCCTGGGATTCCGGCTGGGGCTGCGCAGCAGCTGCAGCGACAGCTGGATCAGCGACAGCAGCAGCAGCGAACATTTGATAGGCCACAGGACGCGTTTGCGACCTCTGGGGTTCCGAATGCCGCGGGAATCATGGGCGTGGGCGCAGCTACGGGCACATCGGCGCCACGCGCGAGCACGCCGGCTGCCGATGCCTTGCGGCGGCCACCCGCTGCCACAGCCGGCACCGCCACCCCGGCCGCCAACGTGCTGCCACCCCTGCCGATGCCGGTGTCCGCGCCGCACACTTTGGGATCTGCCGTGCAGCCCGTCCACCCTGGTGCCCCGTCCGGCATGTTGCCCTCGGCGACAGCGTCTCAGTTTCCGTATCCACAGCTATCGCATGCACTGGGACCCCGCCCGCTGCCTGGTGGATCTTTTCCCAGCGCGTTCCTGCCGGGGCCGCCACCTGGGATGCAGTGTCGGCCTTCGCAGCCTGGGGTGTTCCTGGGTGCTATGCAGCCGCCTGTGTCGCTGGTGGAGGTCGACGTATTGGCCAGGAAGGAGCTTATCCTGCTGAAGTGGCAAATGCTGCAGGTGTGTCAGCGACCCTAAGACAGTAATCGTTTCGTTATTGCAACACATGAGAATGGAGCGACGCAGGCAGGCTGCCTGAAGCGGGGCGTGCATACAGAGCTTTCCTCCTATAACGCGCTACGCATTGTCATGCGCAGGAAATTGCTGTGGACCTGGAAGCCGAGTGGACGGAGGTGTGCCTTGCCCACAACCGGTTGCGTATGTTGTCCTTGACACAAGCACAGCACGGCAGGTCGGCGGCAGCTGCAGTCTTAGCAGATGGCCCACCCGGCAGGTCGGACGCACCACAGATTGGTCCTCCTTTTCGTCCAGAAATTGCACTTCCCGCGCTTCACCCGCACCCAGTCATGCGTGGCCACGCGACCTTCCACCCGTTCACGCAATTATCACAGCAGCAACTATCGCAACGACAAGAACAGCAGACGGGAGGACATCAGGGCCCAAAGCAGCAAAGCGCCTCAGGGCAAGAAGTCCCGCTTCTTACGCCTGCCCCTGGGCAGTCAGTGAATGTACAGCTGGCCGCGCCACGACCAATGGCATTGCAGGATGTCCGCGGTGGGCGATTCCTAGCTACGCCTCCTGCTGAGATGCAAACCGCCGCCCTGGAGAATGGAGCAGGAGACAGACAGCCGAACGGAGCGCGGCATGGCGATGCTCCGGCGGAGGCCCGAGGCGCCCCGGACCCTGCACAGCTGCACCTGAGATCCGGTCAGTGTCCAGGTGGGGAGGAGACATGCCCCAATAGTCAGTTTCATGTTCCTGACAAGCAGTCCAGACACCCGGATCAGCGAGAGCGGGAGCCCGTCCAGCCCCGGGCACCAGAACGGGAGCTTGGCTCGGAGCCTGCGTCCCGAGTAGAGGGCGAGCGGGCCGCGAACACTGGACCTGGGCTTGCGGCAGAGAGAGGGCCGCTGCTGGCCGGCTCGGATATATCCACCGCAGCTCGGAACTCGGCACCAGTTGAACGACATCCAAACGGAGACCCTGCGGCGGCAGTGCAGCAGCACGACGCGGCGGTTCCAAGGGCCCTGGCTCATCGAGACCTTGCCACCGCCGCACTCCGGCTGGAGAGCCATGGCGGAGGCTTGAGTGCCCCCTTGGCCCAACAGCCTTGGTTAATTGCAGCTGGCACGAGGAGTCCACCACCAGGCGCTTCATTGCCCTTAGGAGCAACATGTATATCAGCTAACGGACCGGCCGTTAGGATGGCACCGGCGGCAGCCCCGCAAGTTGGCGAGCGTCAGCCTGGTTCCGACCTGGTCGGGGGGCTCGCAGGGTCTGCAAGTGCCGGCGTGGGTTTCACAGGTGTGGACGGCCCGCAACAGCACTCGAGGCAACATGCTGGGGTTCAGCAGCAGCAGGTGGGCATGCCGCAAGCAGCGCATGACTGTGATACCGCGGGCCCACGTGACGGAGCTGCTGATGCTTGGCGTTCTGGAGGGGACCCTCGGGTCAACCAGGCGTTCCTCTTAACGACGGGCATGGAGGATCAAGGTAGGGTTAAATGTCGCCAGATTGATTTCCCGAGTGAATGCGTAGGCTCCAATCTATGCGCATGTATTTGTATCTTCCGCTGGAGGTGCATCACACCGTCTAACCTCGAGGGCAGGTGTACCTGCAAGTATACCTGCTCCCGTGCCTTTGCACGGGCCCCTAGATGTTTCGTTTCATTTGTAGCACTTCCACTGATCTTCACTGATCCCGCGTGCGTACACATGCAACTAGTCGATGAACTATTTCGATTTCCCGGGATGAGTCGGGTTGTTAAGACGATGCTTTTGCGGTCCGGCCGAGACTTTCCGCGTCGGCCGTTCGGCCTAGCGTGCGTGCCGTTTGCCGCTTGTTCCCCCTTGGGGCCCCCGTTTCCTCCCTTCCCTACCTCCTGTCCCTGCTACTCCACCATCGACGGACTTGTCCTCGTCGCACCTCGTCTCTGCGCCTGGACCCCCTCACGCCGGCGACCTCTATAGCTGCCGTTTCAACAGTCACATATGAGGACGCTGCACGGGGGATCGGCCAAGCGATGTTGTCCGGGCCGGCGCGTCATCTTCCCGCTCTGACATGCGGCGGCAGTGCTGATGGGAGGACCACCGGTGATGGTCGGGGTGGTGGACCTGGTCCCAGCGTCCAGCAGCGGACAAGCGTGTGGATGCCTTGGGAGCATGCCGGCGCTCCTGAGGCACCACCAGGACTGGGCGAGGGTAGCGGAGAGGCCCGCAGCAACGTTGTCGGAGGCGCCGGCCACAGCACGGTTGCGGCAGCGACCCATAGCGGCGGCGGTGGCACTGCCGGTTGGGGTGACGGCGGCGAGGGTGATAGCGGCCAAAGTGTCGGGGTGACGAGTGAGGGGCCTCCCTTTACGGGACTGAGCTTCAAATTGTCAGCTGCTCCGATAGCGGGGCGGCGGGTTGCAACCATGCGCGCACAGCTAGGCACCCCGTCGCCACAACCAAGCAAGGGTGTGATTAGGGGCCCGAAGCGTGTGTCCCCATCCTTGTCTGCGGTCGTGCCAGCGCCCATAGTGCAGCCACGCGGTCGCTTGCCTGCTGTTGCAGCAGGTCCTCTTGCCGGTAATCCTGCGCCCGCATCCGCTGCTCCTGCTTTTACCGCGCCCAATCCTGCCGCTGTCGCCCCGGTCGAGCCACCTGTGCGCGTGCAGTCTGCGCCGCAGGTGCTGCCAGCGAGGCGGCCGAGTGGAGGCAGCCCGGGGGCCGCCATCGCCGCTGCAACGCCTAGGCAGGAACAGCAGGTACGAGACCGGCCTGTCCCGCGTGTCTCACAATATGTCCAAGTACCGACAAAGGCATGCCATGACCACGGCGCACGTTCCCTGGCCATGATGAGGCAACAGTCACGGTGTGGGGCCTACCACGAGCATCCGGGCATAACCCTATTCGCTTCAGCACATTGCAGGCCAATGCGCGTTATTGGCGCTGCATTCATGGCGTTTGAGGGTCCCGCCTGTTGCTGGACTTGCGGCCTCGTCTCAAGGGAGCTGCGGTCTACACGAAGTCCGCAGCTTTTATGTCCTGAACTATGTCCCCCGAGCACGCCCTGCAGGCCTCACAGCGAATCGGCAGTAGCGATAGCAGCAGCGGGGGTTTGCGTGAGGTGGCAGCTGCGATAGCACGCCCGGCTACCCAGACGGCTCGGCATGTTCAGGCGAGGCGGCGGGGCAGGGCGGCCCCCGAACCAATGGGTCTACGCGCGCCTGGCTGTATGGCTTCTAGCTGCCTCGTTAGTCTAGCTCCACGGGCTAACATGAATTGCATTGGTTAGTCTCTGGCTCGCACTGCGATGACATTGATTATGAGAGAATTCCGTACGCAGGCGGCGTCACTGCTGCGGCCTCCTCTGGGCTCATCCTCTGGGTGTGGGTTCTGCGCGCCTCTCTGCTTCCACGCTGAGTTCGTTCGACAGCTGGAAAGGATGGTCGAGAATCTGTGCTGAAGACACGCGAGCCATCGCCGACTCGCGCTGCTTGCCACACCTGCCCGCAGGCCCCACGCGTGCCGTTACACGGCTTGGCAGCAGCGAGAGAGGAGACAGCTCCCCGCCCCGGCAGCTTCCAGGTACAGCCGGGCCCACAGGCTCCACCACAGCCAGGACAAGACCGTCATCAGCCTTCCGCGCTAGCGGCAGTCCAAGTTTCACCCCTTCAACAGCAGCAGCAGCACGCAGCAATGTGTCCGCAACTTTCATCGCCAGGCGGCGCATCTGCCCCGCCGCTCTACCACAGACGGGGAGATATTGTCTTGACGGGGTGTGGCGCCTTTGGGACAACAGGAGTGACTATCGCACTTGACCTCCTCACTCGGAAGTACATGTCACCTCTCAACATCTTCAGGTCCTACTCAGGAGGCGCCCCACACTAGTGGGGGCTGCTTTTGGTCATGGTGGGTCGCTTCTCTCCATTAGCATCCCTTGTTACAGTGTGCGGTACACGTAAACTTTTGGCGGGCATTGGCGACGTGTCAACCTGTCACCGGTTTTCGCAGTGGCAGGTCCCGCCAAGAGCAACTGCATCTTGCATGATACGCGTTCTGGTGTAACACTTTGGTAGGGTGGTCCCTATGGCGTGTAGGGAGCTACGGGGCCTAGTTCACAACTTGTACCTGCACTTGATTATGAGATAACGGAATGCACTTTGCAACGAAATGTGACAGAGGATCGAAGAGTCTGCAATAAGAGTAAAGATGGGGTATTGGGCTGGCCTGCATTGTAGACCAGTGTGGTGCGATGTAAATTGATGTGTCATTTAATTAGGTGGGAAGGTCATGGCGGAGCTTGCGGGATTTAGAGCAGTCGTGTATTGTGCGTAGATCACCCAGCGGGACCCTAACCGGTCCCCCGGGGCCGGTTAGGCTGCATGGTTTAGCAAACACAACACAGCTTGGACAGCGGGTTAGCAAACCATGATGTGGAATCCTGCAGGACTGTTAGGAGAGTTACAGTGGGACGCGTTTAATGGTACGGCAGTAGGCATGTACGTCGACTCTCGCCTCCGGCGTGACATGGGGCAGCAAGCGCGTGTCCAAAGGAGTAGTACAGGTGAATGGAAGAATGGTGGAGCAGCATAAAGACGTACGGTGACCGCACATGACCGCACAGCATGTGCGCTTTCTGTGTTATGCTGAAGCACAAATGATTTACTTGGTGGCTCATGAAACCTCGAGGTCGGATTCTGGCATCTTGCTGGACGGATTCAATTAAGTCAGGTCCGGGGCGGGGCGGTAAGTTGAAGTTTACACTTCCTGCGTATCTATCTGGTGTATTGGTTACGCTCCTGTAAAGTTTTGTTGTCCAACAATGCGGCTCCTTCCTACAAAGACAGCTTCGGCACATTCAGAAATCATGCAGGGGAAGCCAGCATGGCCTAGCTGCTAGCAGCATCCCTTCCCGGGGAGTGCACGTAGAAGCATGAGTGTCTCCGGAGCGGTGGTCTGCCGCCATCAGAGTCAATATCCCCACCTTGCATACACACTCCACACTCAACCCCCCTGCTCTCAGTGAAGCAAAACGCCCGCTTGAGCGCACTCAGTAACCCTCCTGGCCAGCCAGCACGCGCGCATCATGCGCGCGAGAGTCAACGCATAAAACACAGGCACCCGACAGCTGAACAGGCAATGGCAACGGACCAACCGCTGCACCGGTCGCATGCCAGGGGAGTCACGCAGACCAGGAAGCACCAATCGCGACGACAGCAGCATACAGCATTTCTGTACCAGTTGGTAAATTCTACCGCCCTAATTTGGAACACGAATATGCTGACAGCTTACGACGTATTCCCCTTGGCAGCTTTCTGCTTGGACCTGGCTGCTGCGGCAAGGGCGCTTCCAGCATGGCCGCTAGCAGCTGGCATGGACAACCTGCCTGAGGCTGTTTCCCCCGCCACACCGCAGCCCGCGCCTGTCCCAGCGCTGGCTGCCAGGGAGCTTGCAGACGGCGTGGGCGCTTCCACGGCGTTGTACGGCACTACTCGCGCAACTACACGCCCGCCGTAGCGTGCAGTGATCTCCTTAATCGCCCGCTCCTCGGTCTGAATCGCGGTTAGCGGCTTGGCCGCTACTGCCGGTTGACATTGCTCCGGCACGTACCATTTGCTGGGCTGCTGCTGCTGCAGAGGTGGAGCGCCGGCCTGCGTCAAGCCCACTAGCAGGGAGCGCCCCACTGGGGGAGATGTGCCCGCAGGAACTGCTGCCACTGCTCCAATTGCCGCGGGTCCCCCGGGAACTGCGTTAGGCGTGGCGGAGGCGCCGCCGGGCCCCAGCCCTCCCCCCGGGCCGCCGGGCACCCCCTGCCTGGCCCAGCTGGCTGCGGCTCGCTTCTGCACCAGGGCCTGCTCAGCCTGTAAGGGAGGGCGGCGGCGGGGCCGGATGCACGACGGCCTTTGCGACGGCGTCTGACATCATGTGATGCTGTTAACCAGGATAGCCAGGTCAGGACAACACGTCCGGGAGAGTACGGCAGCCTTCACGGGAACGGGATGCGTTTGTCGCTGGGGTTGTGAAAACCGAACGCTCTCACGTCTGCGCGGAGGACCGGACCGGACCATCCGAAGGCAGTCAGGCACACAGCGCCGCAGGAGGGTCTGACGCACGATTGCAGGAATGGGGATGGAGATTGGTCCACAGTGCGAAAAAATAGCGCGCTGCCGCTATGGCAGCGTCGCCAATTTATGCAGTGCATGCACCGCCCAACAACCAATTCAGGGTCATCGTCGGGTCAGAGGCCGCCGCACTCAGGCCATTCGGTCCATAGCGCTCTCCGCTCCCAGGCCGAAATCAGGGCATGACGTCACAGTGACCCGGCTAGCAACCTATCATGGACATGTCCGTCAAGCCATGTGACCCTGGCAGAAAGTCAAAGCATGCACGTGGCCGGGAAATGTGGTACCGGAACAGCGCCACGGCGGCACGAAAAGCCCCCTCACGTACTTGAATATCCAGCAGCGACTTGGCACCCACGGGACTGCCGCCCTGCACACCGCCCCACGCGGGACCCGCCGGCTCCTTCTCCCCCTCCTGGTCTCGACCTCGCAGACTCGCCACCTGCAACGGCGCGGTTATGGGCCTGCCGGACATGAACTCCGCTAACGTGAGCTTAACGCCACCGCCGCCACCACCGCCGCCGCCACCACCGGCAGATGCCGCAATTGGTGAAGCCTTCACGGCCGCCGCCGCGGGGCCCGGAGAAGCGATGGCGGGGCTGGAGGCGGCTGCCTTCGGCACCGCGGTGGTGAAAGGAGAGGACGTCGGCTTGCGCCCGCCTGGCGCAGCACCGGCGGCCGTGGCGATGGGGAAGCTCGAAGCGGACGCGCCTGTCGTTGCTGCGACGGGAAGGGGCAGGGGTCCTGATGGTGTGCGCGCGGGCAAGCTGGACGCACCCGGCGTGGCCGCCAGTCCCAGTCCAGCCGAGCTGCGAGACGGCGCCGCCTGTGACGATGCCGCTGCTGCCGTCTGCTGCTGCTGTGGTTGCTGCTGCAGCGGCCCTACCGTGGCAGCCGAAGAAGTGGGTTGCTGTGAGAGCAGGTCCCGCAGGCTGCTGCCACCCGGCGGTGTGGCCGGCAGCTTCGCGCCACCCCAGGCTGGCGCCTTGGGTGCAGCGGCGGCAGCGACCGGCGGCGGCGGCGACGCGGCCGGTGGCGGACTCAGCGGCTGGTCGAGAGCTCCCGACAGGAACACGGACAGCGCGCCGCGGCGCTGCTGCTGTTTCCTGGCGGGCCCCGTGCCACTTACGACCGCCGTCATCACCGCTGTTGCCGGTGTGGTTGGGGCGTTACCAAGACTGCTGCTGCTGGAAATGGTGGTGGTGGTGGTCACCCTGCTAGCGCCAGCGGCGGTGGTTGCGGGCGAAAACGTGGTGGAGTTGACCGTGCTGTCAGTGACCGAAGCTGTTGTAGCCGTCGCCGCCGCCACCGCTGTCGGTGTTACTGTGAGGGGCTCCGATGACCCATCGCCGCCGCCGCCGCCGCCAGCTTCTTTCGTACTTCGCTTCCGCCCGGGTCCGCCGCTGCTGCCTCCCGGCTGCTGCTGACCAGGCTGCGACGACAGCGGCGCCGTACCAGCCCCACTAGCATTCCCCCCTGAGCTACGGGCCCAGCCGCCGCCGGCTCTGCCGTCGCCACCGCTTCCCGACGCAGACGCCGTCGCCGCTTGCACCGCGTCCGGCCTTGCTGCCAGCTTGCTTGCCACCTCGGCGCTGTGCGCCATGGCCTGCTTCACCGACTCCACAGCAGCTCCCGCAGCCAAGGCCTGCAGGTCCGAGGCAGGACGGGGCGGGATAGGGGCCTTCAAGTTGGCGGCAGGTGTGAATGGCGGCACCTCCCCATCACCAACATGGACCACCATCAACCCCCCGGCCGCCTGCTTTTCCACCTTTCGCTGCTTCCAGTAAGTGATAAGTGACGCGGCGAAGCTGGATGTTTTTCCAAGTCCCCTGGCCCACCCCAGCTTCTAGGCATGACGGGCACTGAGACTCATGCTGCTGCCGCCTTCTCGAAATAGCAGCGAGAACTTGGAACCCCAATCCCGATCCTACCAGACCGTTGCTGTTGCTTTTCCGCCTCCACTGCACTCCACCTACGCCCCAACCCCGCCCCGCTCTCTCACCATCAGCGCTTCCTGCAGAGCGCCCCGCTGGCTCAGCTTAGCGTGCTGCTGCGCATCCAGCTGCCGTCCCCCACGCTGCAGCTCCTCCAGGCTTGAGATCTGCTGCAGCTTGCGCTGCAGGTTGCGGGCCAGCCGCTGCACCTCGCTTACTGCCTCGCCGCCGCCGCCACCGGAATCGCTGGCGGCGCCAGCCGCTAGGTTTGCGCCGCCGTTGCCACTGCGGGGCGGCGCACTCCGCTCGGCGCAACCATGCGGCGCAGCGCCGTGTCCGACAACGGCCAACGCTGCCAACGCCGCAGCCCCCAAGCGGCTGCTGGCCTGCGGCGTCATGCGGTCTGTCGCGGAGGCGCCTTCTAGCCAGGCCGGCGCCGCCGTCGGCCGTCGGCCCATCTGCAGCCTGGATATTAGGGCGCGCCGTCGGTGGAACGCTTCCAGCGCCGTGAGTTGCGATTCGAAGCCGCCGCCACCGCCGCCGCCCCCACCGCTGCTACTGCCAACACCGCCGCCGCTGGTGCTTAAGGATGAGCCGTACAGTGCAGTATTGATAATAGGTGGGCTGGTTCCTAGGATATCCTCCGCTGAGCCGCCGCCGCCGCCGCTGCCTAACGCCGGCAATGAGCCTTGCGGGTGCGATGTCGGCGCCGGCGCCAGCAGCACGGCGCGATAGAGGTGCTCCAGCTCCGCCAATAGATGCGAAGGAAGGCTGATGAGGCCGCCGGGCGCCTCCAGCAACGTACAGTCCAAATTGGCTACAGCCACGGCTAGGCAGTAGCACCGCAGTAGCGCCGCGCCGGCTACATCCGCATACTCCAAGATGGGCAGTGCCGTACGCGGCTCCACGAGCTGCGTCGCCACCAAGCGTTGGCACAGCACCTGTAGCGACGGCACCGAACCACCACCACCACCACCACCACCACCGCCGCCGCGAGTGCGACGCGCGCCAGGGACGCTGTCGCCGTCGTTGAAGCCAAACATGTCGTCGCCGTCGTAGGGGAAGCCGCCGCCGCCTCCAGCGCTTCTCCGCCGCGCACCTGCCAAAGGTGACGACGGCGCACCTGCACCTGGCTCCCCCCCGGTTCTGTGACTGAAGAGCTCCCAGCCGGGGGGCCCCGGCTCATCAATCGCTGCCAGTGCGGCGGCCGCATCACCCCGCCGTCGGGGGCCCACGGCAAAGAAACCCGTAAGATTTCCTCCCGCTGCCGCTACCGCCGCGGCCGCGGCACGGTCTGCTGCTAAGGGACTAGGGACCAGGTCTAAGCTGGTACCGAATGATCGGGCCATTGGACTAGAACCCGGCGGCGGCGTGAAGCCCGTCCCGACGGAAGACCCCAAGCCCGAACCGCCCCGCGTCAGCGACCCGACCGGGACCGCGGCGGCGGCGGCTGCTCCGCCCGCACGGAAGGAGTTCCCCCCCGACCTCCACCAGCGGCCACCACCACCGCCACCGCATACTTCATCATCCGAGCCGGAGCTGCTCGAACCATCGCCTCCGCTGCCGCTGGCACCGCTGCGCCGCTGGCGACGGTGCCGCTGCATCCCCGGCATGACGCCGTGCTCGTCGGGAATGGGGGGCACCGACCAGGCCTGCAGGGCCAGCGTGTGCTTCTCCCCCACAGCCACCTGGGTCACCCGCGTCAGCCCTGTAACGCGCACCGGCACGATCTGTGCCTCCTCCCCCGTGCCCATACCGGCCCCGCTCTGGCCCGTCACCGCCCCGGCTCCGGAACCGCCGCCACCACCTCCCGCCGCCGCCACTGCTGCCGCCGCCGCCCCACTGGCAGCTCCAGTCCCGCTGCCTCCTGTTCCAGGTGCCGCCGCAGCCTCCGTGCCCTTGGCCCCTGCACCCGCAGAGCCAAAACCCCCGCCTGCCCCGGCGCCCGCGGCCCCGCCGCCGCCTGGTGTCGCGCGCTGCTGCTGGTGCTGGGGTTCCTTGCACTCCCACATATACACCTGCCCCGTGTCCGTGACGACCACTGTGCGCGTCTTGCCCGCCGCCGCCGCCACCACACACTTGCCTGCCAGCGGCCCCGCCACCTCCTGCGGCCGCAGAGCCGGATCTGCACTGCGCCAGCACAGCACCTCCCCGCTGCGGGTCACCACCGTTGTGTGCGAGTAACCCGCAGCAGCCAGCGCGGCCTCAGGCCGAACCACCTCATTGTGATTGCGGTGGAAACGAACTTCAAGGCCACCGCCACCGCAGGGAGCGGCGGCGGCCGCGGCAGCAGCAGCCGCAGGCAGCGCCGGCAACGGCAGCGGAGCCGCAGGCGCCGCCGCCGATGCTGCCACAGGCGGCCCAGGTCCGCCTCCGCCGGCCTGTTGCAGCTGTTGCAGCTGCACTGCCGCCAGCCTCGCGGTATCCCTGCAGCCCGCCAGCTGCACTCTGCGCGGGGTGACCACTCGGTGGCCCCACGTGAAGACATCCCCCTCTGCGGACACCACCACGGTGTGGCGCTTGGACAGGGACAGCCCCACCAGCACCTTGCCCTGGAACACACGGCGCGGGGAGAAACGGAGGAGCTCCCGGGGTCACGTGCGGACGAGACCAGGTCGATGCTCCGTACTAGCTATGCCACACCGCCATGGTGATGTGCACCAGCACGGATGGGCTGTGTGCGGGCACATCGGGGCATTCCTCGGTCTAGCTTCAGGTAGCATCCATCGTCCGTCTAGGGCCAAGGTTTGCACCACCATTTCCCAACAGCAGCACACACACACACACCATGCTCCCTCGAGTCTCTCCCTCCCCTCCCTTCCCGGCCCCTTCACTTCCACACCGCTCCTCCGCTCTGGGGCTTCCCCACCTTCATGGCCTCGACCACACGGGGTGTCGGGTTGTTGGCGGAGTTGTTGGTGCCGTAGCCCAGTTGCCTGCGCCAGGGGGTTTAGCCAGCAGTGCGGTAGGGGTGGGGGGTTCGGTGGGTGGATTTCTTGCATATGGTTTACCCAGCCCCCCAGCACCCCCAGCACCCACCCGTCGTTGTTCGCTCCCCACGTCCACACCTCCCCCGCACTGGTGAGACACGCGCTGTGGCGGTTGGAAGCAGCCACCAGCACCGCCCGACCCTTGAAGTCAATCCTGCCACGTGAGGGAGTCCACGTTCGGAGAAGCGTTTGGTTGGGGCAGGGGATACCGATTGGGTGATGGCGGTGAAGGGGGGCACGACACACGAGAGAGGGGTTTCCGCGCGCGGAGGAGGTCCCGATGGCGGCTCCTATCACTCCCCTCCACCCAACAATTATCTTGAGCCCTGCTCACCCCCCACCGAACCTAAATATACACCTTGTGCAACTGCCCCACCCACCCTCCCCCGTTTTCGCTCCTTCCAGCCCCTCCTTTCCCTCCCCCCTTGCTGCTGTCACCAACTGCTCCCCAATCCCCAACCCCCAGCCCCTGACCCCCTTGTGCTTGTCGGACTCACTTTCTTGGTGTGGGCTGCGTGTCCACGTTGGGGTAGCCCAACTGGAGGAGGAGAAGGGGGGGTCCAAAGGGGGCCGGCAGGCGGGGGAGACGAATGGGGGAAAGACGAGCCACACACGATTGAACCACACACGAATGGGGGAGGGCGGGAGGAATGGATAGGAATGGATGCATAGAGCAGAAATGGGGGAAGGACGGTTAGGAAGACATTAATGGGCGGACCTGCGAAGGCCCCGTTTCCCTTACCCTCCCCTCACCCCTCCCTTCCCTCATGTCCCTCCCTCCGTCCTGCCCCCCCTCGCCCCCCTCACCTTCCCATCCCGGTTTCCCCCCCAGCTCCACACATCGCCAGCACTCGTGGCCACCAGCATGTGGTGCTTGCCCGCCGCCATCGCCACCACCACCCGCCGACCCAGACCCGCCACCTGCCAGGGGTGAATTAGAGCCGACTCGCCGCTGTGGATGTTGTAGTCGGGATGGCCCAGTCGGCCGCCGCGGCCCCAGCCCCAGGTCAGCAGCCGCCCGTCAGCAGTGAGCGCGGCGCTGTGGAACTTGGCAGCTACTACGGCCACCACACCCAGACCCTGTGGGTGGGGGTGGTGGGTGCGGGATGCGACAGGCGTGGGGCGGGTGGAGGGGTGCTCCCTTCCGGGACCTTTCCCCGCGTCCTTGTCTGTAGGATTGGCTTCCCGGTGGCCCGAACCCCGCAACCTTCAAAACCAACCTGCAGTGCCTCCACCCGCAACGGGTTGAGGTGGAAGTCGGTGGAACCTGCAGCGGGGGAGGGAGCGGGAGAGGAAGGGAGGGAGATCGAGAACATGTGTGTAAATTAGTAACAAGATGCCGTGGACTTCACAGCACGTCCTGCCAGCAAAACGACTGCTTCACCTCCTGCGCTTTCCCCCACGACAGTTAGGACCTCTGCGACCCCCCCCTTTTCACCCGTTCCCAGCTGGTAGTTGGCGCCACTGCCCCAGCTGTAAATGGCACTGCAGCGACCAGCTCCCTCGGAGGGCATCCTACGGAGCTCTGAGGACACCAGGTCCACAGGGGTGCGGCCCTGAGCCGGGGGGGGTCGGGGAACGTGAGGAGGGGGCCCATGTAAAGGGTAAACGGAGGCACTGGTGGGAGGTTGCGAGCGACCAGGGGGGGGCACCTGAGCAATACCACCGTACGTGCATTGCACCGGGCTGGTCAGTGGCTACCCCCCCCGAGGCGCTGCAGCTGCGCGACACCAGCAAGACATTTCCAGCTGTTCCGCGCGTGTATCCAATACACGCTATCGCCGAGAACAATCAATCCAGGCCTCGACTGTTGGACTTGCCGAGGGGTTGTACCTCACAGATCGGACGGATCAGTGCTTGGGATTGGGATAAGGATGGAGGTAAGACCCAACGCAAAGGTTGCTAGGTAGCAGCTGTGTCATCTCCGGGCTCCGGGAGTGGAACAGCGCACCTTCGGCCCCGCCCAACCACTCACCCACCCACAGGACCCCACCTGCAAGTCAGTCGCTTCCACGGAGGCCCCCGCCTGAAGAAGCAGCAACAGCAGCAGCAGCAGGGTTCGACAACAGCAGCAGAGCAAAGCAACCAGGGAGGAGCGGGAGACACAGCGCGAGGACGGCGTCAGCTATGTACGGGGCGCACTGAGCAGAGCCGGGAAAGAGGGAAGTCGCACAAGAAGCAAAGGATCCTCCCGCCCAAAGCATCCTTGTTTTCCAACTGCTGGGAAAGAGGGGGGTATTGGGGTTTACCTGCACGGTACGGCCGACGTGAAGGTACCGCTGTGCTGCTTTGCGACTGGCGGCTACTCCCCTAGCGCTCTCTCTTCACCCCTAGTGTTTTTGTCTCGTCTTTTCCGGCAACAAATACGCGGTATGCTTACAGACAGCATACCACCATGTTGTTCTTTTAGTCGCACCCCCAGCCCAGCCCGGCCCGGCCTCAGTCCAGCTGGGAAATGCGTCCCCAAACCCGCCTCGCGGGAAGCCTACCAAGCTGCTGGACCCGCACGAGCTGACAGCGAGGCCATCATGCTCCCTGGAACTCAGCCCTGGTGACCTGGATAGTGCTCGTCCCGCCCCGCACCTCTCTCGGAACCACGTCCTCATAAAACCCCTTCCACTGCTACTGGGTCCTTCGCAAGTGCGCTGTTTCGTTCTTCACTTCCACCCCCTACCCCGAGGCACAGGCCCCCCACCCCGGAACACGACTCCCCGCCACCCGCCCTGACGGCCCCCAGCACCCGCCTGCAGCAGTTTGGCGGCCGCCGCCAGGTGACCCAGGTACAGGGCGCGATGTAAGGGCGTCCTGGGCGGAACACGTAGGGGGGCCAGTGGCCAGGGAGCATGTGGATAAGGGGACATGGCGGCCTTTGTGCCTCTAGGAACTAAGGCATGGGCCCCCAAAGGGAGGGAGGCGGCTCAAGCGGAGCCCGTTGGCCGCACTTGTGGGAGGTGGACTCAGATAGGGACCGTAGTACGGCCTGGGACCATAAAACCACGCATTGTGAGTACGGCTGGCAGGACGCAATGTGCGTACGGCTCCTCTTGCTGCTAACAACGGAGGAGAACCACGATCGCCAGCACCGTGCGATAGCGGGTGTGATGTCGCCAAGGTGGGGAGGGGTTCCCCGCGAGAATGAGCTGCTTCGGGGTACTGGGACAAGCAGCCGCTTACGGTGCGGTTGACTAACCCACACCTCCGAGCAACGGGTATAGCTCTTAAGAGTTATTTCATGTGAATCGCTTCATCCCCATGTCAATATTAACCGCACCAGCCGCTCTCGCCATCCGTGCAGTGCGTCCAGGCGCCGGCTTCCAGCAGGCGCTCAATGATGGTCAGGTGGTTGCGCCATACAGCTACATGCAGCGGGTAGACCTCACTGTTGCTGGGTCTGCGCGCAAACGGAAAGAAGGATCAGGGGCGATGCGCGTCACGAACCGGCCTTGGCCTTGTGGCAGCGGCCCTGGAACGCAACGTCTCCCAGCGGCCATTGGCTCTGGAAGGCCCGTGGGCCAGTGCCAGGCCGCCGCTCATTCCCACACGGGACCATACTTGTTTAGTTGTCCAGCAAGTTTCTGCACGGCTGCATCCACGTGCAGGGCGCTGCCGTGTTTGGCAACCTCCACCAGCGTGGCCATTTGCTCCTGTACTGTTTGGTGCTTATTGCTATGCTACCTCACATCAAGCGGTGATATACATGTTGTAACTTAACTGGCCTTTAAGGCGTCAAACGCCAGCGCTGGTGTCAATCATACAACCGGTCACCCTAGGGCTGGTCCAATTGTCAAGGAAAGGAGAAAGCCAGAAATCCATTTAGTACCATATTCGTGATAATGAAAAACAGTAGATCGCACTGCGACTTCTAGGGGTAAATCCGGAGCAGTCAGTTGGACAGTCGATGCACGGCACCGATGCAGTTTTACTCCTAGTTTCTGCGTTTCCGTGCAATACATCAACCTTTGCGTCCATACTGTCTATTCCTGCTTATGGGATATAGAGTAAGGACTATTCATTTGGCAGAACCGGTTCATTGAACCATGGGCAACGAGTGAGTGTGACACGATTTCGCTATCAGACGATGGACGCATGGATTAAGGTTTGTGGAGCGTATGCTTAAAGTGCTGATCTGGGACGTCTTAGCCGCTCCATTTCACACTCTTCAATTTTGTCAGATGTGTTTCTCTTACGATAGCCAAGGGATTTGCGAATTTGGCAAACATTACGTGTTATAACTATATCACAAGCCTTAATCCTTGATTTTTGCCGGGGCTTGCTTTTTGTCCACTTTCCGCAACGTGGATTTACATTTTGCTGTGTTAGGGTGCACGTGCGGGAGTGTTTACGTCCTCTATTTCGGCGTGTACCTGCAGCCTTTCTGTTATGTCCGTACCATCACATTCCTTCCTGGGTTACTTAGCCGGTACGGCTTCGTTGAAGTCCTACCCTGGACAAGTTGCCACCCTCGCGCCCGCTGGCCCTCCCCTTTGGCCGTGCGGCTTAGGAATGCGAGCGTGTCCTGTGTCATTCTACAAATCAAAGAGGCGATTTTGACGCGTACCTTACCGCCCTTGCACCCCGAGAATGCGCCGGCCAATGTACGGCGATCTGGTCCGCTGGAGCCCTTGCCTACAGGTGCGACCGCGGCTCATGGCAGCACCAGGCACCGAGTGCCGCTTTTACCACATCGGCCGAAACACCCCATAGCACCGTCTAGCCAGAGCTGCACTCGCCAGGATTATCGCACCTCAATCCAGTCGCCGTCCATCCTCCCAATGGCAGCTTCTCCTACCCATCCAAGCTTTGGTGTTCATCGCACTTTCGGCAGCACCTCACTTTAGCTTAGCACATCCAACTTCAACCGATACAAGTGTCCATCTGCCGCATAATGCTCAGTATGATAAGGACAAGGAACGCGGGATAGGCATGCAGGCAGCCGAAATTTGAGGAAGGCGGCTTCTTCCCGCTGCCGCTTGTGGCCTTAAACATCGAACCTCCGCGCCATGTCCCGGACCAACCGCAAAACCCCTAGTCACGCGTCTGCCCCTGCTCCTGGTCCCCCTAGTGACTTTCGGCGTTGGCTTAGGACGTCGGCAATCGGTATTCTCCCCTTAACGACCCTGGTATGTGCCTTGGGCCCCCTCGTCATCGCGGTCGTCGCGGGGCCCTTTTGCCACGTCTCAGATGCCGTACCTGCCAGCTTACAACCTCCAGTGCCGTATGCGTATCCTGCTTCAAAGCGGGGGGCCATGAAGACCACGACTGGATACAGTATCGCTCAGCGTCAGGGGGTTGCTGCGATTGTGGCGACCTGTCCTCTTGGCGGCTTGAGGGTGGGTGGATGGAAGGGGCCGAGAGCGCGTGCAGATTGGAGGGGATGTGGGCTGGGGGATGTTCGTCTGTTTTGTTGCCAGAAAGGACCGTGGCACAGTGAACAAGTGCCACAGCAGAACGGTGTGAGCTTAGGAAAGAGGGCTGCGGAGCTGCTCTGTCGTGCGCTCTACTGTATTGCGTTGCTTTGAGATAGCCCCATAAGCATTGGAATGGTGGAGGACAAACCCCCCGGGGGTGATCAACACCATCAGCGTCAACCGCTGTTGGCGTGCTGTCGTCACACTGTTCACCGCCCCGCTTCCCACCCTTCGTCCATCCGCTCCCCCCCCTCCTAGGCTGTTGTCCAGCTCACCAGCCGGGCCGCAGGGTGGCCCCCCTGGAGCAGCTCCTGCGGCCACAGCCCCGTGCGCTGCTGGAGGCGGTGCTGCAGGCCGCGTTGGCAAGGCTGACCGAGTGCCTTGGTGAGTTGGTTGAAGGGTTTGGACGGTCGGCGGCCTCCTGTGGAGGGTCTTGCAGCTGGCAGGCGCGTTAGGACTGTCCCCCATGTGCATGAGAACTTCTTAGAGCCTGTCCCTCCAACCTCCAATCTGGGCGTGGCATCCCCCACAGGTCAGTGCACTGGGACCCGCAGCGACGCAGACCACCGCCGCGATGCCCTGGCGCTGTGCAGCTGGCTACAGCGCTTCGCCGCCCTGACGCCTCTGCGGCCAACCATGAGCAACATGCTGCGACGGCCGCTGCAGCAGCGACAGACGTCACCGCTGCAACAGCAGCTTCCATCATCACCACCGCCGCCGCCGCCGTCATTACAGCAAGGCCAGGGCCATCCGGCTGGGCGGCAACAGCAACAGCAACAGGAGCACCAGGAGCTGGTACAGGAGTTTTCGGAGGTGCTTCGAGAGCAGCAGGTGGTGTGGCAGGAGCAGGAGGAGTTGCGGCAACAGCTGCAACAGCTGCAGGAGCTGCAGCAGCAGCTGCAGGAGCAGCCATGGGCAATGGCTGGGTTGCAGCGCGAGCAGCAGCCACAGCCTCAGCAACTGCAAGGGGAGCGGTTCTTGGTTGTGCAGGAGCGCATCCAGGGGCAGATGGAGCGGCTGCAGAGGCTGCAGCAGCAGCAGGAGCAGCAGCTACAGCGGCTACGGGAGCTGCAACGGGCGCTGGGTGCAGTTGCGCAGGGCGGCGCGCCGTCAGAAGAATCTACAAGGGCCGCTGATGCCGGTGCCGATGCTGTCGCTGATGCTACGGCGGCCGCCCCGAGCATGTCAGCAGGAGCAGCTGCACCCTCATCTGCCGCCCCCGCGCCATATGCGGACCATGGGGCTGCCTCGTCCGCCGCCTCCGCACCCGCGGCACCGCCGGTGTCCATGACACAGGCGGCGCCGTCGTTGCCGGTCACGGAAGCGTATGCAGCTCAGGCTCAGGAGGTCCTGGCTCGACTGCCGCCGCCTCCCCCGCTTCATTCATCCGTGCCGCAGGGCGCCAGCCCGGAGCCTGCTGCGGTCCAGGTGGGTGCTCACGTCTTGACGGGTGACACAGCTGAGTGACCGGAAGAACCTCAGGGAACCCACTGCGGATGCGTGAAGCGGCCAGCGGGGGCGGTAATGTAGACAGGGGTTCCAAGCAGGAGTGAAAGTGCTGCTGCAGCAATAGCAGCTCAAGTATTTGACTTTGGGCGGGGATTACGGGGAGGGCTTTTAGGTGGGCTTCTAGTTTGCGGGTTTCATTTGGACGTGATTTGAGCCCCCAGATACCCCCGCTCTGTGGGGGTTATCTCCTTTCTGTTCTCCACTGCAGCCTCACCCTGACATGACACTCTGCCCGCCCTCCCGGTCATTCCTTCTGACCCTGATGCAGGACTGCCTGCTACGCCGCTGGGTTCTCGCTCTTCGCTGGATGCACCCGGAGCCCCTCCACCACCTCACCTCACTGCTGCTCCTGCTGCTGTACGACCCGGGCTTCAAGTACGACACTGCCGTATACCTCATGGAGTGCTACGTGCCCATGCTGTCCGCCATCGGCGGGCTCACAGCCTCAGGTGTCGCAGGGGCTCAGGGCTCTGCAGGTGGCGGTGGTGGTGGCGGCTCCGCAGGTCGTCACCCGCTGTGTAATGTACTGGACCGGGTGGTGGTGCAGGTGTTCAACTCGGAGGAGGTTACGGTCAGGTAGGGGGCCTGGAGGGGTAAGTAGGCGGGAACGTAGTCCGGAGACGGGGCCAAGCTGGGGCGGCGGGGAGGACGGAGGACTGAGGACGGAGAGCTGAAATGGTTGATAGGGGTCAGAGTGGGGTCCAGGCAGGATACGCAGGAGTGCGGCAGGTTCAGCCTCCAGAGCAAGCCCCGCAGGATACACCGGCAGAGGGGTAGGGAATACCAGGACATGGAAATGGTCCCCGGTGAAAGTGAAGACTTAGGGGTAAGAGGGGTTGAATGGGGATTCAGCGGTAACGGACCAAAAATCTTGCCTTGCCTGATGTTGCGTGATTCCCTGAACCACAGTGCGCCACCCTCCCCCTCCTTCCATCCCTCCCTTGCATATGATTCCTTCCTCCGCATTTTCTATAGACTGGTTTCGGAGCAGCGGGTGATGGAGATCCACTTGTCGGCGCTTGGCTACTTGACGGGGGCATTTGTGGACGAGCTGGCCAGGGGCGCTCTGACAGCCCCGGCCAGGGAGGTGGGCAGCCGGGGCCAGTGGGAGGAGTGGGAGGCAGAGGCGGAGTCGGAGCAGCGACTAAGTGCCATGCTGGATGCCATGAGGCGTCTGGCGTCGGTGGGTGCGGAAGAGGGTGGAGGGGGGGAAAGCGGGCGGGGGGGGGGAAATGGGTGTGGGTGGCGCGCAGTTGCAGGGGAGTTTGGAGACAGGCACACGCGTACGTGCAGGTGCGTCTGTCCTCGTTGGCGAGAAGTGCCATGCACAGCAGAACAGGGGAAGGTTCGGTCCGGTCGTATGTGCGTATGTGCTTATACTGTACGCGTGGGGATAATGCCTGGATTTCGTTGCGTAAGGGGCCGCATGTCTATTTTCCGTTCCTGACCTGCCTATGCGTATGGCCGTCTTTGGACGCGTGATTCCAGCCCCAATCCGCTTCTTACTGCCCAACTCCGCACCCCCTTCTTCCACTTTTTCCCGCCCCCCCCCCCTTCAGGACTTCTCCACCCTGGTCTACCACGTCCCCGCAGCCCACTACCTGCTGTCCAGTGGGGAGCTGTGGGGGGAGGCCTTCCTGGGCAGGTTCGTGAGGCCACTGCAGGTGAGGCAGGCGGGGGCCCCGACGAAAGGGGATGGGGGAAGGAAACCGGCCAAGGACGAAGGGCGTGAAGGCCGCGATAGCGGATGGAGGGCGAGCGAAGGAGCAGACCCGCCTTGTGTTGGCCGCCGTGGCAAGGTTGGAAGCTGTCGGAACGACTCCCAGCTCAACCCGTGTGTGGTCTGGCCAGGACCAGGGAAACACATTGGTTTCCGTGTGTGTGTGTGTGTGTGTTTATGCGTTCCTATGGCAAGTCGCCCCGTGCCCAGCCCTTCCTTTCCCCGTCGTTTTCTGTCCTCCGGTCGCAGCTGATATCACGAAAATGCATGTATATGGGCAAGTAATGCAGATCCGTGAACTAGCTCTCCCGCCTCCACACAGGCCATGCTTCATCAACGCCGCAAGGCGTCTGGTGATGTTGAGGACGGGGCCGCCTTCCGAGTGCCTCTGGCCTGCTCAGCAGAATTCGTGGTCACGGCGTGTGTCTCAGAACTGCTCACCACCATGGCGGGATTGAGGCCGGGGGGGGCGGCGGCGGCGGCGGCGGCACGCAACAGCGGTGGTGGTGGCCATGGCGGCCGCGCGGCAGAAGGGGTTGAAGCCGGCAGCAGCAGTAGCGGGGGGGGATCAGAGGAGGAACGTGTACGGCGAGTGGAGCTGCTGTACGGAGCAGCCAGGTACGGGAGCGGTCCTGGCTTGCAAGACTGGGTGCAGGACTGTGGGTTGAATCCTCCGCCCAAGTTTGCACGTTTGCAACCCTCCTGCCGCACGCATACCCCTATTCGCATCCATCCAAGTCTGCTGCTGACGCTTCGATGAGAACCGCTAGAGCCGCATGTCCGCTGATCCTAGCACCCGAGGTAACCCAGCGGTGTTAGCCCTTTCACTCAGGGGCCTACATATGCATGACACGTATCCCTTGGGGCCCCCGCCCCCCTCCCCCGGTCCCCCGTTCGCGGCGCCTGCTCCCACCGGGGGCTCGGTCTGCAGACAAGCTATCGAGGCGTGTGAGGAGTGGTGCAGCGACCGCCTGGCGCGCAGTGCTGCTAGTGCGGCACCTGCGCTGCCATCGGCACCGGGCACAGCATCCGCCGGAGGAGGAGGAGGTGGCGGCACGGGGCCCGGGTCTGGATCCGCTCCCTCGCCCCGGCGGCTGTCAGTGGCCGGTGACCTGTACGATGGGCTAATGGCGGGGGAGCTTGAGGTATCTCCACACCTGCCCCTGCACCGCACCGCGGCGGCCTTTGTGCAGGGTAAGTGCGGGGGCGGGAGGGTGAGTGGTTGGGAGGGTGCTTGTGCGTGGGGTGCGGGGCGAGTGGGCGGATGGTTCAGGAGGCGGTCGGCCTAGTTCGGGCCGTGTAGCAGTGTGGCCCTGATCGGGAAATGGGGGTCGGCCTGCGCCGAACACTGCTAGGCAGACAACTAGTGGTAGCACGCCAAAACTCATGCCTATACAATTTCATAAGCTCCCAAGCCAACTGTGAGGAGCCCTACATAAGACGGCATCCTGTGCACGGTCCCGTCTAGGGGCCTCGCCTACTTCCAGAAGCAATGAACCACTGTCGCCGCAATACATGCCACACATCCCGATTGCCGCTCTACCCCACATCTTCACCCCTACCCTCTTCCCGCCGCTTTCCAGCGCTGTTGCATCAGGAGCAGCTGGGTGGACCCACGGGTCGGTTAGCTCAGTCGCGTGTGGAGCAGCTGCTCGCTCTGACGGCCAGTTTGGATGAGGGCAGCGCATGGAGGCCCCTTAGCCGCTTCCTGCTGCTGGGCCAGGCCTTTGTCAGTCAGGTGGGGGGGTGGTTAGTCGAGGAGAATCCACTCGGGCCGAGGGGGTGAGTGGACACGGCCAGCAGAATAGGAACCGGCCGACCTATCCAGGTGAGGGCGTGAGATAGGTACGGAGCCGAGATGGACAGGTCCATGTGGAGGTGCGGGAGCAGGGATAAGGCGGAATGATGGGTCTGGGGGAGGCCAGGGGAGTGGTATGGCTCGAAGGGAAGGTGCGGGAGGGGATGTGTTAAAGGAACCGGTGCCTGGGTTGTACTGGCTTGGCACCTCGCGTGGGAGAGAGAGCCGCTGCCGTACTCAGATCTCCGGGTTGCTCTGTGTGTGTGTGTGTGTGTGTCTCGCCTCGCGTCGATGATGCATGCCCTAACGGGCCGGCAGCCACCTGAGCTTTCCTGGCCCCTCCCTCCACCTCCACGCTGCCTGTCTGCCTGCCTGCCTGACCGTCTGGCGGGATACCCTGCCCGCGAAACCCGTTCCGCAGATCATTGCCCGCAAGTGGCCTCGCAACGGTGACGAAGTCTCCCAGGTGGGGTCGGGAGGGCTCGGGGGTCGTGGGGTGGTCTTGCTTGCAGGGGCCTGAGGTCAGGACAGTGGCGGGCCGCAGCGTCGGTGTCCTGGAGGCCCCTCGCATGATGTGAGGGTACCGACATGGCACCCTCAGCGGTTGTGTTTCCTGGTACCACTGCGCCGGAGTCTTACCCCTTGTAGTAGCTGGCCGCTGAAAAGGCCTCTCGAGATGCTGGTGGTCGCGCTTCGCACGTATTTGTAGAGCCGTACTGTGTACCGGCTGCTACACCCCTCAGCAGTAGTACTCGGTGCTACTCATTCGCCCCCTCGAATCCTCGAAACCCACGGCCCTCACCGCACTGCCCAACACCCACCCCTCGGACCCCCAGGTGGAGCTGTTCGTGCTGAATTGCCGAGAGGTCATTGACCTGGATGTGCTGATGATACAGGCAGGGGGGGACAGGGGGGAAGGGAGAGGGGAGGGGGAAGGGAGAGGGAATCGGACCCACGGTGCGCCAGGATAGCCAGGGCAGGGCAGGGAACATCAGGGTAGGCGTGCATGTGTGTATTGGGGTTTTGGAGCCTATAAGGACCGAAACCCGAGATGCGCTGCTGCGGTTGCTGCCACACTGTGCCATGGTGGGGTTGGCGGATGGGATGGGTTGTCCAGGTGCCGGATAACAGCGGATGTGTGGTGGCTGACCGGATGGTCTCACTCTGAGGGCGCAATTCCTTTCCGCAAATCATATCCCCCCCTCTGTCTCCTTGGTGGCGCATACGCACACGTGCGGGCGTGCTGTCGACCTCCCCTGCAGTGCTGGATGGCGGTAGAGGACCCCGACGTCGCGCTGTACGACGCGCTGGCCGCCATGGGCGCCAAGCCGCTCCTCGCGGCCGCAGGTACGTCCCCACTGCGGCGGTGCCGTCACCACAGGCCGTGCGCTGGCGCTGGCGCCGGCGTCACCAGTGCCGCTGCCCATGCACATCGTGGCCTGGCTGGCATTATATGCACCGTGCCGCTCCTTCATCATCGTGCCGCATCAAATACATCTGCGCCCGATACCTCCCCACTGCGCAAACCCTTCTCTCCCTGCCGCAGGGGTATCCGACCCTGGCGTCCCGGAAGCTGGCTCGGCGGGTGCGGCCCCCTCCCCTTCTGGCCTGTCTGACCCGGCCTCCTCCTTCGCCTGCTGTGAGGCGCTGCGGTGGCTGGTGTCCATCCTGCGGGAGAGGAGCGTGGCAGGACTGGAGCCCAGGGAGCGACTCAGGAACACACTGGTGCAGGTGGGGGTGGGGGTGGGGGTGGGGGTGGGAGACCAGAGGATGGGGAGGAGAGGGAAGACAGGGGTGGGGGGTCGAGCCTTCCGGTGTCCGCCAGGAAACGAGAGGGGGGTGTTGGAGAACAAGGCAAGACTTCCTGCAGCCCTTTGTACCGCCTATCGCGCTGACCCCTGCAAACCCCCGGACACATCCCCGCAACCTTCCCAGTGGTTGGCCCTCCGCGACTGGACCTACAACCAGCTTCACGACCTGCTGCCCCAGGACCTGCAGCATCAGCCGCACATGGAACAGGTGGGGGGCCCGCTCGGGTGAAAGGAAGGGGGGCCCCAGGACCGCAAGCTTGAGTGTATGTATAATCGAGCACGCCATGTATGTGCGCATTGGCATGTACAATTTAGGATTTACCGCTGGCTTTTTGTTCTCGTGGTTACGAGCCAGTAATTAGTACTAATCCTTGCTTACGTAAATAGACCAGGCATTGGTGGAACCCTGCTGAGCACGCTGCGGCAGGTCTTTTGCGGTGGCTGCTGTTTGTCATGGTTGATTTATAGTCACCATGGGGGTTTCTGACCCTCCTGTCACTGCCGCCATTTGCCGCGTAAAGCTGGTTCACCACATCTGTCCCATAGTCGTGTTCCTTTGTGCTCCCCCTCCCCACGGCGGACTTCTGTGTCTGGTCCCTTCAGGTGTTGGCCGAGGTCGCCACCTACCGAGCCGCCAGCCTGTCCCAGGCCCGGCAGTACTCTCTGAGACGGGAGGCCTGGGGGCTGTTCTCCCCCTCCTTCATACACTATACACACTCCATGCGGTCGCGTGCCTGGGAGGCGGCCATGACGGCGGCCAGAGCAAGTGGTGGTGGTGGTGGTGGTGGTGGAGGTGTGGCTTACCAGCCGCACTGGCAGCTACGGCCGCCGCGACACCCCCTGCCTGCTTCTCTGGAGCCCATGCAGCGGGTGCTGGAGGCCAAGGGGCTGTGGCGCTTGGTGACGTATGTATTGCAGGTGGAGGCTGGTGGCGACCTGGGGTGTGGGTCTGTGAGTGCGTGGGTGCGTGTGTGGCGGGTGTTGTATCTTGCCAGCCTTGCTTGGTATGAGAGAGGGCCCGGGGACTTGAGGGGCGCCTCCGGGGCGGGTCTTTTCCATCCTCATGCGGGCTGTACCGCGTCTGTAGGGAATAGAGTGCCGACCTTGAGAGTACTGACAGGCGTACGGTAACGGAGCGCGTATTTCCCCTCCCGGGGCTCCCCGGCCTCAGGTCTACCTAAGAGGCGTCCCCCGGCTGCCCGAGGACGCCCTGCTGGGGGCCCTCAACCTGCTGGCCCTGCAGCTGCACAGGTTGGAGGACCTCATGGGCCGACTGGGCCACAACAGCCACCCCGGCCAACGACGGCATCAGCATCAGCACCAGCACCAGCACCAGCACCAGCACCAGCACCAGCACCAGCACCAGCACCAGCACCAGCACCAGCCAGCCAGCCAGGGCCAGCAGAAGCAGCAGGGGTTACAGTCAATGCTGCCAAGCCAGGGTGAGGAACTGTCGCGGGTTCGCACCTCCGTCCTGACCGGTGTAGCGGCCCTCGCGGGCGGAGCTTGTTCAGCTGTCGTCAGCTCCTCCGCCCGCGGAAACCACAGCCACCAGCACCACCCTAGCCGTGCGCACCGGCCGACCGACGGGGCCGTCGCTCCCTCTTCCTGCGCCACGTCCTCGGGAACTGTGGGCATCTTCCGCTTGCTGGAGGCGCTGTTGCAGTCCCAGACACCGCCGGGGCCCGAGCAGCGCAGCCGGGCGGCGGGAGCGATAGGGCCAGCGGCGGGAGCTGGGACGGTGTTGGTACACCTACTTAGCTCTGAGGCGATTGACTGCTTGCAATGGTTGCAACAGGTCGCCTGGCGGCTATTGCAGGTCGCCGAGGCCGCGGACTTATTGGGCGCACCCGCGCCGACGCTGAAGGATGACGCCGCGACTGCCGCGACGGGAAATGTGGCGTCAGCGGCGACGGCGGCGGCGGACTTGGGCGTGCCCGCTGCCGCTGACAGTGGCGAGAATGCTGTAGGAGAGGCCGCCGCAGGGTCTGCTACGGCGGCCGAGAATGAGGTAGCGCGGCGGAGGGAGCTGGCGCGGCAGCGGCAGGCCGCTATGATGGCCAAGCTGCGCGCACAGCAGGAGGCGTTCCTGAGGCAGGCCACGGGGCAGGGAGCGGGAGCGATGAACAGCAGCGACGAAGAAGACGATGAACATGAAGAGCAGGAGGACAGTGCTGCCGAGAAGGTAACCCACAGCAGCGAGGAGGAAGGGCAGGAAGAGAGCACAGAAGAAGAAGAAGAAGAAGAGGAGGATGTTGACTGGGGAAGGGCCGGGCCGAGCGACGGCGGTGGCGGCGGCAGCCGGGCCACCGCTGCCGGCGGCGTAGATTTGGACGAGAGAGGTAGCATGTCCGGCCAGGAGAACCATCCGGAAGGGGACGACGGCGACGAAAATGAAAGAGGTGACAGCAGCGGCAACCGCCGCCGCACCCGCCGCCGAAGGTCGCCTGGCGCCGCTGCCGACGGCTCCTCGCAGCGTCAGGCCGCAACAGCAGTTGCCGCTGCCGCCGCACAGCAGCAGCTGCCGCTGGGCCGCTGGCTTCCCGTGCAGTCCCCGGATCACGAGTGCGCCGTCTGCAGGGAGGGCTCCACTTCCAGCCGACATGGCCCGCTGGCCTTTATCGCCCACACGGCCGTCTGCTTCTGTACGGCTGCACCGCTGCGACCAGCTCGCGGATGGGACGACGATCTGGTCATGCATGGCTTTGGAGCGCCCGGCGGCGGCGGCGGCGGTGCTGGTACGTCGGCGGCGGCATTTGGGTCGGCACCTCCGGCGCCTTCAGACCGCCAAGCCTCAGCTGATTACACGCGGATTGGTCTTGGTGGTGGTGGAGTTGCGGCCCTGCCCCACCCTAGCGTGTCGGCGCGGGAGTTACGGTCGCGGTTGTGGCGGCATTACGGTCCCTGGGTCAGCGAGGCTGACGTGGGCGGGGGCCCCCATGTGCACTGCTGCGGCCACATGATCCACGTGCACTGCTTCGGTGAGCCCTAGGACAGGACAGGCTGGAGTCGTTGCTGTCCGCTGTCGGCCCCTTATCCTTGGGGCCTACGGGCTGGTGCTGCCGGTGGGTGGGCACATTTCCTTGTCTGTCCTTGCACCTACCCGTCTGCCTGCCCGCCTGTTACCAGGTATCCGCCTCCCTGCCTGTCTATTGTCTATTGTCGCTTTCCTGACCAGCCCCGGGCGGCTGCGCTCTCACCTCATGAAAGCCCAGGAGGTCAACCAGGGTCCTGCAGGCTCTCCAGTCCGGCGTGCCTTGCTCGCAGACAACCGGATGGGGGACACGCCCTCCCTCCTCCCCTCCTCCGCCCGCTTGCCCGCGACCCCTACCCAGCCCGCTTCGTGGCTGGTCAGCTGCGGCAGTACCTGGCTGGGAACCACTTCCCCGGCTCTCACCTGGTGATGCCCGAGCTGTCCGAGTTCCTCTGCCCCGTGTGCCGCCGATTGGCCAACGGAATTGTGCCGGCGGCGCCATTCCAGTGGAGACAGCCAACGGCAGCGGCACCAGCGCAGGTGCGCACGCGGGCGAAACCTCAGGCAGCGCCCTCAGCGGTAGGTTCCGGAGCCTCACAGGAAGACTCCCTGCCGCAGCCGGCCACAGAGGCGGTGGGGCTCAGCTGGTCTGGTCCCCGCCTCGACCTCGCCACTGTTCTCGGCTCCGGTGCGGGTCTGTCTGGAGCGTCCAGTCACCCCACCGACATGTGCGGCCCGGGCCTGGACTTGGCGAGCAATGGCGGCGGCGGCGAGGCGGGAGGAGATGACATGGATACGGGCGGCAGCATGAACGAGATCTTCCGGGCGGCAGCAGCAGCAGCAGCGACGGCGCCCTCGCGGATGAAAAGCAAGTGGGGGCAGCGAGACGGGCAGCACGCCGCATGTGTGTCTCTCTCGGCCGGCGCGGCGCCTGCGTTTGCGCTGGCGCAGCCGCCGGCGGGCGCAGACGTTTTACCACCTGGACCTGAGGCTATCCAGGTTGCTGGCACTAGGCCCAGTGCTGCTGCCTCACAGGCGCCGCTGATGCCCCCCAGGGGTCTGGGTTCGCTGCAGGGGCTGATGGACTCCCTGGAGCTGTGTGCGAGGACGGCAGCAGAAGCGGCGGTGGCGGTGCCGAGGGCGGAGAGGCTGGCTAGGGCGCCGGGCGGGACTCAGGTCCGGGAGCCGGCTGTGGTTGCGGGTCTAAATCCGGGCTCAGAAACTGGCCCGAGTTTGGGGCTGGGCGGCCGTGGTTGCATGTTTGAGCGCACGTTTGGGTTGTACGGCGAGGTGGTCAACTTGGCAACGCACCAGGTGAGGGTTGGGGAAGGGTTGGGGTTAGGGATGGGTATTTGCAGCGTGTGTCCCACATGTGGTAACCAACTCCCGCTATCTGCGTCCCACCAAGTACCTACCCCGTACAACCCCCCGGGTGCGTCATCCCCTTAACGCAAGTTCACACACGTCACCCCTTCCTGGCCCTCCCCTGGACTCCAGCAGTAGGCCCTTTGCTTCCTGCGTACCTGCACCCTCCATTCCTCCCCTCCCTCTCCCGCCGCGGTGGCCCTCCAGATGACCCGCGAGGGTGTCAATCACACGGGGCAGCTGGAGAGAGCACTGGAGGCTCGGGCGCGACTCATGAAGTTCCGGAACATGCTCAGCCCTGCCCCGGCCACCCCACTCGCCCCGGCCCCGGGACCCTCCGCACCACAGGCAACAGCACCGCCGCAGCCCACCGCCGTCAACACTCCTACTGCTACAGGGCAACAAGGTCCCCAGCCACAGTGGCAGACGCATGAACCAGCAGCAGCAGCGGCGCAGCTGGCAGCCAGCCATCCGCCTGTAGCGCTGTCCCCAACCGCTGCAGACGCGCTCGGAGGGGGGGTAGGTCCCGCAGCCGACGCCACGACGGCAGCTGCTGCGGTCAACATCTCGTCACAGCCCTCCCCCAGTCTATTTCCAGGCCTGTCCGTCAGCCGCGGCACCAGTCGCAGCAGCTACAGCCAAGCGACTGGGTCGGCGCTAGCGGCGCTGCGGCTCGCGTCGCCAGCCGAGCCGCCCCTGGTTATGAGCTGTCACCGGGTAGCTGATGTGACGGCGGCCTGGAAGGGCGTCCCGCCGCTCAGCCGTCTATGGGCAGCACTGGCACATAACCTGGCTCATTTTGAAGCCGTCAGGCGGCCCGTCTCGCTGGCGGCGGGCGTGTTGGGCACGTCGTCAGACGCTGCCGGCGCCGCTGCTGCTGTCGGTAGCTGCAGCAGCCCCGGTGCGGGTGCGGTGACCGGACTACCGGCGGTGGAGGCGGCCCACTGGCGAGCCCTGGCAGCGCTGGCAATGATGGCGGTGTGCGGCGGCGCCAGGCAGGTGGGAACCGGCGGGGGCAGCAGCGGCGGATCCGCCGCTGCTGGCGGTGCAGGGCCGGCAGGTGTCGGACCTGGCCTGGGCCCAGCGGCCCATACGACAGCTCACATCGTGTCATCATCACCGACACCTCCAGAGTCCTCCCATTACCTCGCGTACCGGCCCCGTGCCACCCCCGCCCTCACTCTCTTAGCACCGCACTACCGGCAGCAGCCCAATCCACAGCTGCAGCCGCTGCTGGCCTCATTCCACAACCAGCTCCGCTGGCTGTTGTGCGACCTGCCAACCCTCCTAGGGGCTCAGGCCCCGCCACCACCGCTAGCGACGATGATGAAACCTTCACAAGAGTCGGCACCCGCGAGCACAGGCGGTGTGGCAACTGCTGGAGCCGGAGGGATTGAGGAAAGGCCTTTGGCGGCGGCCACAGCGCCGCCGCCGCCGCCGGCCGCCCTGGACCTGACCTGCAGCTTCTTGCCGCCGTACCTCCCGGAGGTGGTGATCCCGCGGCTGGCGGCGACGCTTGCTGGCGGTGATGCGCCCAGCCTCCGCACCCGTGGCGCTCAGTCGCACACCTCCGCCTACGTGGCGGCATTGAGCTGGCGGCGGCTTGCGGGTGTGGACGAGCTGGTAGGGGACCCGCTGCTGCTGGTGCTGGAGCTCCTGGCGGGTAGGGAGGTGGGGCTGGGGTGGGGTCATTTTAGGCGGATAGCCCAGGAGTCAGTCAGTGATAGCCACTTCGCTCCTTAAGCACCCCTGCCTGCTCGTATGCCTGACCGTTCATGCTTCACCTCCTGTACAGCGGCATCAAGTTACCAAATGTACGTGGATGACATCATGGTGTTGCAACGAATCATCCTGACGAAGCGGTTGTTGGCGCGTACCGGCGTAACCACCCCAAACTTCGTTTAGGAGTAGCTGAAGCACCAACTCGCAGGGCACTGGTTCCTGAGGCCCCCGACCGCACAGACGAGAAAAGCGTCTTTCCGGTGTGGGCGCCTCATGCAGCGTAGCAGGGCTACTGCTGCGGATGCGCCGCACCTCGTAGCCAGGGATGTGCACAGGGGGCGGCTGTCTGTGTCTGTCCGCGCGTGCGAAGAGAGGGACCGCCGCTGTGTCAAAAAATAGAGCACTATCTAGTCGGCGCTGTTCGCCCCCTCCCTGGACCCGCAGTGGGACTCTCCGGCCTGGCGGGGGCCTCACTGCCAGTTCCGGTGCCCCCCGAGGAGGGCGGTCGGCGCCCGCGCCGGGGGGAGGAGCCCACGGGGGCAGCGAGTGGGGCACCATCGGGTGGTGGTGGCGGAGCCAGGGCCGGCAATGGTGGGTGTGCCTCAGCCGAGTCCTCCCCCCAGGCGTGGCTGCCCAGGAGCCCGTCGCAGCTGCTGCGAGCTGTGCTGCAACTTGTCTGGCCCATCCAGGTGTGTGCGGGTGTGTGTCTCTACATGACTCCGATAATAAGGATGGCCCACGAGCATCCGTTCTACCGATGGACTTGATCCATCGCAACCGGACAGACTCCTGAAATTAATATCAAAGCAGATGCTGATAGGGCGACTGACGCCAAAGCAATATGAAATAGCCGGCGCCGCTGCTTAATGGACCGACTTGCGGCTTTGACGTGCAAGGAAGCCGAGCTGTACCGCAGGTCTTTTCCGTGCTGGTGGATCCCTTGGCTTCGTATTCTTTGCTACCCCCGTACGGTAGGGGCAATATCCACACCGGCCAGGCATTTTCCTGCCGGCTCCGGCTGTGGCTCAACTGTACGGCGCCCCTCCCCCCCTCCCTCCCCACACTCAGGTGGTCCAGGCGGCCCTGTGGGGTGCGGCGACAGCGGCCGGCCCGGGTTCGTGTGCGGCTGCTGGGGCGCAGCCCGCTTCCGCATTCCCTACCTCGCCCCCACGGGAACCGGAACCACCAACACCGCCACCCCTGCTGGAGCCGGAGGAGCGCCGGCAGCCGTCCTTGGCTGGCAGCCGCCTGCTTGGGCTGTACCACCTGGCACTTGGAGAGGTCACACATCAGGAACCGCAACCGCAGCCGCGGGAGCCGCAGGGCACCGGCTCTGCTGGCAGTCGCGGCAGCGGCAGGGGCGGTGGTGGCCGTCCTGGCCTGGCGCTGGGCAGTCTGAGCGCCGCCCTGCTGCCCTTCCTGGTCCGTGTGTACGCCCTGGACTGCGCACTCCGGGGGGAGAGCCCGGACCCCGAGCTCATGGCCGCGTACTCCTCCCTACCCCTCCCGTCGCCTGGGAGGGGTACGAGCCGCTCCCATGCACGGCACCGCCGTCATGACCTGCGGCAGCAAGCAACCGACCCGCACCAACACCAACATTCACGGCAACCGCACGGTCGAGGACATCGTGTGAAGGAGCCTGATGGTGGACCCCAAGCACTGGCGCCTGGCGCGGGCGCGGTGGCGACTACGCTGGACACCGACATTACTGATGCTGCTGCTATTGCTGGTGCTGGTGATGGTGATGGTCGCGCGCCAGAGGACACTGGAATCTCATTGGCCCAGGGCTCAGCATCAGCAGCCGGTATTCGCACCGACGTAACGAGAGAGGGGGTGGTGTTGGAGACGGGGCCAGCTGGAGAGGCCGAGACTGCAGCGGCTGCAGCGGAGGTGAAGGCCGAGGAGCTGCACGCGGCGGCGCGTGTGGTTGACCTTGCGAACCGCCTGTCGGGGGCTCTGGGTCTCAGTGATGCCGCCAACGCTCTGCGGGAGCCGCTGCTCCTGAGCCGCCGCCGCGCTGCGGAAGCCATGCTGGCGGCGGCGGCGGTGGCATCAGAAGCGACTGCAACGGCTGCTTATGGACCCGATCACCATTTCGCACCGGAGCCACAATGCATGAACCATACGGATTCGAGTACGACCTTGGATCTGAATCTTGACGAGCACATTTTGGCATGTATCCTGTCCAGGTGGTGTGGCCCGAGGGCCCTGGCTCTGACGTCGGCGTCGGCGGTCGGTTCAGCGGTAGAGGTGCAGCACTCCTCGTCCCTAGAGCCTCATTGGGCGGCAGTGGAGGCTGCGGGTGAGGGCCCGGAGGCGGGTACTCCGACTGCAGGTGCCGATGCCGCCCTACCCAGGCCCCAGTCGCAACCTCGTCCTCATCCTCGGCGCCCGCCGGCTGGCCAGGTGCTGCCGTGGTTCCGTGGACTACCGCCTCCGCCGTCACTGATTCCTCTGCCGCACCTCTTCCAGGTGGGGCGGTTTCCCGCCTGGTGCCCTCTGCGCTTCGACTCCGGGGCTCTTAGACCAGGACGCAGCTTGGTGGGGTGAGATGGGGTGATGGGGGACGTCAATGTACACAGGCGGGAGCTCAGAGCTACCTTTGCCGGCCGAGGTGCCGAGGACATGTCGGGGCAGTGCCTGCATCCCTGTACCTGGACTCCCAGTGGAAGGAATTCCCATTCAGGGAATGGGGGTCCACCTGCGCGCCAGGTTGTGTGTGCAAAAGGTCATGTGCACGCGACCCGCCCCCGTCATCACAATTTACCACAGGGCTGGTGCCGCCCACGCCCGCACTGACGCCTCTTCAGGCGCCTCCATGTTGGTCCTTTTTAACAACCCTCCGACCCCTGCCCTGCCCTGCCCTGACTTCGCCCTGACACCACTGCCCGTACCACCTCCCGCACCTGCGTCCCCCCCACGGTGCCTATCCGCTCGCCACGTCAGAGCCTCTTCCTGCATTTCGCCGACGCTCACTGCTCCGGGTGCGGCGCCAAGCCCGACAACCCGGCGCTGTGCCTCCTGACCGGCCGCTTCGTGTGCAACCTGTGGCGGGGCTGTGGGGACCTGCGCGGCGGGGCGTCCGGGAGCAGAGGCGGGGGTGTGGGAGGCGGTCTGCTGCACACCCGGGAGCACTGCGGGGGTTCCTGTCTGCTGCTAAGCCTGCGCTCCACCCGGGTGGTGGCGCTGCGGGGTAACCGACTGGCCCTGTGCCAGTCACCCTATCTGGATGCGCACGGTGGGTGGGCAGTGGAAGGACGAGGAGGAAGGGGGGAGGAGCAGTAAAGGGAAAGGGATGGGGGGAGAGCTGGGAAGGGGTGTTTGGAGGGGCTTGATGGGGGATAGGAGGGGTCGGCGCCAGAAGATTGGGGATGCACACCGCCCCGGGTGGAGGAGGGGTGGAGGGAGCGAGTTGACGAAAGAAGTAACGCCGGTTTTGGGGGAGGAGTTTGTGTGGTTTGCGCACAGGGTTGGGCTGGTGTTTGCATGTGTTTGGCGGACTGGGTTGGAGGCACTGGCTGGGGGCAGGGCACGGCTTGGTGTGCTGTACAGGAGAAATGGGAGGTTGCGTCCTGGTAATGGTGGTGGCGATAGTGGGGCTGTTGGTGCGGTGGTGAGGCCAGGCGGATGAGCGACTTTTTCACCACAATGGGGTGGTGCTCCCTCGGAGCTGAATACCCCGGGCGGCACCGGCATGTAGCATTTAGGCCCCGGCGTACAACACATACGTTGGGGTAGCGCCGGAGTGAAGAGGTCCTCTGCTGCCCCGCTGGTCACACCATGGAACTAGTTAGCTGTAATAAGTACACCACCTTCAGGAGGAATGAACGACCACCACCGGTATTGTAGCCATTGCAGCTAAGGCAGATTCGGTCAGCTTTTGTGATGCTTCTCGGATGCTTCTTTCCCTGTGTTAACTCTCTTCCGCCTCCCTGCATCTGCCCTCCCACACCCTCCTTTTGCCCCACCCCCTGCCACGCTAATCCCCCACCGGATAGGCGACGAGGATCCCGACCTGCGGCGCGGCCGGCCGCTGTACCTGGACTCCGCCTGTTACCAGCAGCTGGCCCGACTGTGGGGCTCCGCAGCACTGGAGTTCGACACACAGCTGCTGCACAACTCCCGGGCGGACCCGGTGGGGCTGTGAGCGAACTACTTACATATCGCCTCATGCACCCGGTCCACCGCACCGAGTGGAGGTGGGAAATATCATCTAGGAGGAGGTCTGCCTCAAGTTGTGTGCAACATACGGCCAGACGCACTATTTAACGTCGGCATCGCACGCGCATTGGGTGCAAAGTGGCCCCCCTTTGCCTTTTTGGTTGTTCAGGACTGTTTGGGGAGGCGTCCCTGCTAGGAGCATACTTTAGTTGGGGCTCCAGGTCCTTTCGTAGTCTGTAGTTAGCTCTAGCTACACACCACACGTAGCAAATCGCCAGTTCATCAATAGTACGCCGCCACAAAACAGTAATTGGTATTTCAGCTCGCTCTGGCTCGCTCATTCTCCCGATGTGAACATCTCAACAACATCACATTCCTGCCACTTCATTGCTGGACAACTTGTTTAGTAAAGTTGCCCGGTAGCACCTCCTCCCCCTCCTCCTCCTCCTCCTCGCGGCTCAGTCCATTGAGAGGCACTCAGCAGGTGTGCGGACTGTATTTGTATGTCTGGAGAGGCGAGAGGGCGGGGGAGGGCTCAGCCCCGGCCCCCGGAGAGGGCGGTCGCCATCTGCGTGGAAAGTGGATGGGGCCTGCCGACGGGTTTCGCCCTGTAGGCGATACAGGGTTGCCTTAGCTGACTGAGGTTAAGACGCATCGGGACTCTGGATAAATGATTTTCAACGAACACATTGCTGGGCTCCGGTTGCAGCGGTCTGTGGGCGACTGTGTTGACCTGTGCTGAATTTGGGGCAGGTCATCCGGGATATATCTCTGCTGTGGCTGTTGTATCCGGGGACGTAAACGGTTTGCTTGCTAGCTAGGTCCTCGCAGAGGTGGCGGTGATGCTGTGGGGTCACGGGGCCGCGTATGTGCACACCCACCGGCGTCAGGGTGGCCTTGGCAGGTAGCAGTGGCGAACACGGGGTCGATCCAGGGGCGGGGTGCTGAGTCTGCTCTGTGTGGAGCTCCGGCGCAGCAGCTGGCGAAAGCTGTTGCGGAATCGTCTTAGAGCAGTAGTGCAACACATTATTACAATTCATCGACCGAACACGTCAAAAGCGCCGACCAGGTGCTTCGTATTGTTGCGCTGCAACCGTATATTGTTTTGTCTTTATCTTCTCACAGACGCCGCGACAAGCACGGCAACTGCCGCGGGCAGCACCAGTCGAAGGAAAGTGTTGGGAAGGGCATCATGCGACGGGTCCGACACATAAGAGTACAACACCACCAAGCACAGCAACACCTGGGAGGGGGTCAGGGTTGGAATTGATCCTGAATGTATTCCGAGTGTGTGTTGGTGCAAAATGTGTGGCCCCTCACCTTGCGACTGGTTAAACCTTACAACACACCAAGATCTGCCGTACGGAGATCCCAAGGGACAGCTGTGCGCAACGCCGTGAGCGCGGCAGGCAGCAGAACGAGGTGCTTCTGCCGCAGGCTCAAGACTGTACACACAGTTGACCCTTCAGTGCAACAACGTGACAGTCAGTTGACACCGGGGGCGAACTCATAACGACAGTTACAGTGTCCAGTCAACAGGGGTCCGCCAAAGCCGGGGGGCCCCCATGGACCGTTAGTGAAAGTTCATGTTACGGTGTCGGGGGCCGTCCTCCCGTTCTCGTTTGAACGCGAAGCGCCGGAGCGCTGCGTGCCTAGTCTCCCAGACCTCCGAGGTAAAGCTAATTAATGCCAGCGGGGGAGTCTCGGTCATGATGAAACCAAGACAAGGCAAGCAGGTTGGATTACCCAAATAATAGCGTGCTTGTTTGGCACATTCTAGATAGGGGCCCTACTTGGAACACTACAGCAAGTGCGACTTACCCCAAAAAAATATGTTGAGACAATAGGAATTGTTGTAAATATGATAGGATTCCAAGTTCCTTGCCTTACGTGGCTGCTCGTCCGCACAGTCCGACTGCAGGCCCCAACTGTTGGCATCACCTGTTGTGGTGAGTGTGATTGCCAACTTATTTCGGTTTCCATCTCTTGCGGCCCCCCTACCAATCCTAATAACGCCGATACAAAATACTTGACCTCTATGACAATTTTCGTGGTTGGACTGCAATGATCCAGCTATCCTATACGGGGAAATTGCACCACCAGAAAAAATGTTACGGCAACAGGACTCACGGCGACCAGAAACAAAGAGAAAAACGCCTACAACGCCCCCAGGGCATCTTTCATAATGAAGCAAAGCAGCCCTTGAGCATAGAAATGAAACAGTGTCTGGATCCGCAGCACCAGCACGTGAAACCTCCCGTCACCAAGCGCCGAAACCCCTTGCACCTCCCGCGGCAGTGGCGGGATGTGCCGGCTACGCATGTCCTGCTCGGAGCCACATCCTCTCTACTTCACGATGGGGCTTATGGCCGGGGAGGCTCTTGGGTCAGTTCGTCTATCCACGGGCGGGAGCGGCCCTGGGGGTCTCCTTCTTTGGAGGGGCCTTCCCCTTCGCCATGGGAGGGGGCTTTGGCTTGGCCTTTGACTGGGGCGGCGGCCTGGGGCTGGGGTTGGAACTGGGACTAGGGACAGGGCTGGGAAGGGGTCTGGGGGAGGGGGAGGAACTTGGCATTGGGGTTGGGCTTGGGGCTGGGGTTGGACTGGAGCTGGGGCTTGGGGTTGGACTGGAGCTGGGGCTTGGGGTTGGACTGGAGCTGGGACTTGGCGTTGGGCTGGGCTGCGTCGCCGGAGGGGGAGAGCCTATGATGGGTTTGGGGTGGTGGCGCAGGGAGGGGTTTGGTCAAGAGTTAATCGCGTGTGTAGACCGGGGGATGCACTTTCCTCCCCGTCAGTGCCGTACACCCGCACCGCGTGTGTCCTGTGGGCCTCCCAGGCTATGACATCCCCGAGCCCAGCCCAACCCCGACCAGGCCATAGATCGCCCCCACACCCACCACGCCGCCCGTCTTACTCGGCGGTGCGGCGGGTAGCACATAGTCCGGCATGTCGTAAAGAAGTGCCACGGCACTGGCTCGAGCGCCCCAGCCAGCCGGCATGGTCGGAAGCATCGAGACACACACGGGCATGGAGGTCGGGAAGCAGCTGACGTTGAGCTGGTCGCCTCCGCCGACATTCCGCCAATAGGGTTGCGCGAAGAGGCGCAAGACCACCTTCCTGTGGGCAAAAGTGATCGGTTGCTATTATAGCTATGCAGGTTCGTCTGTACATTAAACGGGCTACCGGATTACTGGTCTCCGCAGGAAGGTAGATGAGGGAATACGCCACCCAGAAAGGAGGGCGCGTGGTGCCCCATACGGCATAACGGGGATTGCGAAAGTGACGCTAGTAACTCACGCGTAGTCGCTTGAGCAGTTTCCACTGGTGCAAGCACACTCGAGGCGGACGGAGTTGATGGCGTCATCCCAGGTCAGGTTGGAGGCGGGCTGTGGGGAGCGCAAAGGGAGAGGGCGAGTTCGCCGACGCGGGCGGATCAGAACAGACAGTTAGCCTTCGCACGAGGGGTTTCTTGCTTTCTTACGAGTCCAAATGGCATACCTGTTTATAATAGCGATTTTTTGCACTATGGGTTAGACATTTTTCAGCTCTGTGCCGGACCTTGGCAGCATTTCGCCATGACGATGTCAGCAGTTACCTCCAATGGCAATTGGCCTACCTTTGGCAAAGCTGCGAGGTCGAGAATTTCGATTTTGTTTGGCTGCCCTTGAGTCGCCAAGGAAATTGCGAGATTCTCGCCGTCGAAGCTGTTCAGTAGGAACATGAACGCAGTGCAGTTAAGCGAACCTGCAGCCACGAAGTGAATTTCATGTAGCAATTTTAGTTTCATGTAATATTGGTGCCATTTTCTCCCAGCACGAAGAATGCAAGTACCACTACCGGTGGCCCTCAGAACATCAATGGCAATCCAACAGCGCACGGGTAAAAAAAAGCTGCTTGCTTCAGCTGTCTACATCAAATCCCATTTTACCCGCATTGACATGTATGGCCGAAAAGCCAAAAAGCGCGACCAGGGCGATCAGCTTCCGGACGAAATGTTGCCCTTAGTATCTCCGCACGAAGTCCTCCGCGATCACTCTATTAACTACACAACTCGCAAGTTTCTTTATTGATATGTGGAAGTGTTACCTTCTACTTGAATTGAACCAGGCTGAAGTATACTGAAAAATGCTAATAACGCCGTACGTACACAAACAGTACTTGTAAGCGGCCCCGTCCGCCCAACATCCGCCCAACACATCGATTCACATTGCTGTCAGAGCCCATAGGGCCGATGTGGATCCCGCCCGCCCTTTCACCCCAGAACTTCCACTGCCCTGCCATATCGACTGGGCTAAGCTGAGCTCTGCGCCATTGGGGCCGCGGCCGTGTACGGGTCCTTGTATTTACATCGCCACATCGCATTGCTGCACCATCCAGACATCTGGTTTGCACATCGTGTGGGACATATCTCCGCTGTGAATCTTACTTTGTTTGAGGACGAAGGAGATGAGTTGCTTGTCAGTTGACCGCCCGCGGTCCGGGCAGCCTGGGCGCCACCATGCCCAGCTTTTCTCCATTTTCTTGTCGGAGCTGTTTCTTGTTTTTCATCTCTTTACGTTTTCTGCGGGCCGACGGCGCTGTTGCGGTCGGCTGGATGCCATCGGTGACCGGTTCCTGCTTCCACAACTTCTCCCGTTATTCCATTCATAGCCCTTCCTTAACCAGGGTTACGAAAACAACATTTGGTTGGCTTGGGCCAGAGGCCCGCCTAAATGGATGTCTTTGCTTCTGTCTGTCTGTTTGTTTGTTTGTTTGTTTGTTTGTAAGTAAGTGTTTGGTTTGTTTATTTGTTTTGTGTGTGTGTGTGTGTGTGTGTGTGTGTGTGTTGCATATCGATCCGGGCCTGACACTGGCCAGGGCCACCTAACCGTACCCCAACGGGAACGACCGCCGAAGCAGTCTCCTTGTGTGGGGAGAGGAGCTGCTCGACCGAGGGTGTGCACAGAAGGAAAGAGAGCGCAGTGGCTACCAAGGCCCGCAAACAAACAAACTCAGCACTCGCCGTGGCACAGTTCCGCCCATGCAGCCTGCACCTTGAGCAGGCGCGGCTGCCCACCCTGGGCGCCTCTCTCCGTGTGTGGGTATGTGCATGCATGCCGGTACTGTGTCTATGCACGCCGGAATTCGTTAAAATTCCCAAAAGAATCTATAGAACTTCTGGTGAAACGTTTGATGTCATATTGAACCGATTACATTTATACGTTTCTGTTCCGGCGGTTAATAGTGTGAGCAACCGGTTTAGGGAGCATCGTGTTTGTGCTGCATGTGGCAACAATGGAGTCGTTGAAGATGAATGCATTTTATGCTGGCGAGCCTAGAGCTTGCGTGTACACGGCTGTCCTCGGCATCTATTCGTAATGCCGTGTTCGGTACTTTCTGTTTTTGTCATAGCTGTGTGCTATCTTATTTTATTTACTCAGATTATCTTACGTGATTGAAGCGGTTCATGGGCCTTCGCCCTTCGGGTTCGTTTGAGGTGTACGAGCTCGCTTAAGCTTGTAACGTCCATACATCCATCCGAGTTTCCACAGAACGCCTCTTGACAAGTACGTAGGGATGTAAAGCTATTTCAAAGGCGTGAATGAACCGCGCCTGAGATGCGCGCCTCGAGGCAGCGAACGACAACCAGCAGGTTATCCTCCATAATTAACGAATGTTTGTAATCAAATAAAACTCTACGCAGATGATGTGTAGCTCTGCATTCACAATGCTAGGCCTGTCGTGGGGTGAGACTGATCTGTAGGGCTCTAGCCGAAACTGTACTGCCGATGCCGAAATAGTTTTTGGACCCTCATGCGAACCTCGCGAAACCGTCAATTAAACCTCAAAAATGCTGTATTAGTATTTAATGGTACCCCGGGACCACTTTACTGTTACTAGCCTGCGGTGAAAAGGTGCATCCGCTGAAACTTCTTTTATGCCATTGGCGTCTTATGTTGGAAATGCGCAAGAGGAGCTCACAGGGTAAGTTGTGTGACGACACAGTGGGGTAAGGGCGGGGGTAAGAGGAGAACTTTATCATCGAGTTAACCGCCAGACCAGAAGATCTGTCCTCCATACCTCTCCCTACAACCATCTTTGGTGCCGTGTGCTGGCCCCATGCTAGGCATCTTCCTGTGTCCTGTTCCTCCGTGCTCAACACCTCCTGACACCGTACCATGTCCTAGTCGACGCCGGCCCTACGCTAGATCACAGTCTTTGCCCTGCACAGAGCTGATAGCCGAACACAACCCTGACGCCTAAGCCCTGATGCTGGCATACCGTTTGGCACGAAGCAACCTCTTGGGGCTATAATGCAAAATGCACAGCTATTTATGTAGGCCATGCACCCAGATTCCGTTGCTAGCCACCGCCTCCCAGCACACCGTCCGCCATCAGGGGGGCCGTCCGTGTGAGGGGGCCGCGGGCAGCTGTGTGGGCGCGAGCGGGTCGAGAGAATCATTGATGCGGTAGATAGCCCTCCTCCATCAGGGCGGAGAAGATGCTGCCCTGGTGGGGAAGCAGCTGCACCTCCACCACCATGTCTGCCTGAACCGCCTGGCCAATGGCGCTGAGGTGCAACATTACCTCCTCTGCGGTGGCAGACTTGTCCTCGCCATCCCAGAAGTCTGCGTTGATCTCCGAGCTGCCAGTCGCCTGCAGCCCGACCACCACACTAGGTGCCTGCCAACCCACAAACAACCTGTCTACAGCAGCTCCACCCGGCAGTGCATCCACAGCTGCACGCTCTGCCTTGGCTGCCTCACATACCACCACGCAGCTGCAAGCGGTCTTTGCCTGCATCAGCCACTCCTGCACCTGCACCTGCATGGCTTGCAGCTCCTGGGACACGCCAGCGTTTATTGCACACGCCAGCAGCTGCTGCACGTCCCAGGGCCGCACAAACACGGACAAGCCCATCTGCACTGCCTCACTGCCGGGCGGGACCACTGGCACGATGGTGCTGTGCTCCAAAGCGCCAGCTGCCAGCATGACCAGGGTGACCAAGTGCAGCTGCACCCCTTCATTGCTTGTACGCGCCACCAGGTTGAAAGGTGTGCCACCCAGCAGATAGCGCGCCGTGTCTGAGGTCACCAGCTTCTCCCTGCAACCATGTGCCAAAAAAGGCGCATGCAGCAGCTTCACACCATGGCAACATGCCATCTCAGCCCACCAGCCCTGCCTGCGGTGCACCCTGCATTGCGCATTAACTTGCCTGAGCGCCGCCATGCACGGAAAGTGCTTAGTAGCCATGGTGTAGATGGCTTCGGCCAGCTGGGTGGCTGCCGAAAAGCATACGCCTGGTTGGAGGCACTCTGCATCATGCTGGCACATTGGCGCATACCTGCAGACACACCACAGCAACTCTCAGTCAGTGCTCACGATTCCGTTTCCATCTTCCCCACCACACAACCCTTCACCACAATAGCCTGCCAGAATGCAGGGGCAGAGGGACAGACGCCTGTATGGGGTGCTGGCTCGCCCGCTGCACCGTGCACTCCTGGTCAATCCAGTACAGCCCAGGTAGGGTGCACAGCCCGTACAAGGCTTGTGGCCTATCTAGGAGCACACCAGGCGCATCCCCTGCGCATGCCCTCCCTCCACAGCCTGCAACCAATGCATAACAGGCGTGATGTACATCCCTCTACTACAACAGCCTGCCGGAATGCAGTGGCAGAGGATCAGATACCTGTAGATGGCACTGGCTCGCCTACTGCACCATGCAGGCCTGGTCAACCCTGGACAACCCAGATGGGGTGCACAGCCTGTACAAGGTTGGTGGCCCATCCAGCAGCAGCCCAGGCACATCCCCATGCACAGGCCCTCCCTTCACAGCATGCTTCTCACACATTACAGCTGTGCAGTGCCAGTCTTCCAAAATCAGGCTGCCGGAATGCAGACACGGAGGATCAGACGCCTGTATGATGCGCCGGCTCCCTGACTGCACCACACACACCTGGTCACCCAGCACGCAAAGATGGGGTGCACAGCCTGCACAAGGCTGCTGGCCCATCAAGGTGCACGCCAGGCACATCCCCTGTGCACGCCTTGCTGCCCCGCCCATTTCTGAAAACGCCCGACCCAAAGTCGCGACCCTGCCGCACCCTCCTTGCATTCCCCAGGCCTGCTGCACCCTCTGCATACACTCCCTGCTTGCCTTACCATCCGGCCATGTTGCTGCTGTCAGTAGCAATGTACGCATGGCCCACCATGTCCACCTTGTGCATAGCACTGCCTGCTGCTTTATGCTGAGACAGCTTGCTCCACAGCTGGCCGACATCCAGCGCAGCGACCTTGCACCAAACCAGATCCACAGTGGCGGGGTCGTCCACCTGCACACGTCCGCCAGTTAGGTCGTGTCCAAACAGGGGGCGTGTCATATTGAAAGGGACCATGATGCGAAGGCATTGCAAGGATTCGAGCGACCCTGTAAGTGTTAGTGTTCTGCAAGGCAATGACTGAATGTATGCTGTTCATCAAAGCTCAGATCGCCAACCACACCAGCCTTTGCCCATTGGCGACAGATTAGCACGGATTTCCACAAACAGCAGCATCTGTCCATTGGCATCATAGTTGCACGAAGCTGGCAGCGAACTTGTGCAGCAGCGCGCCAAAGAGGTGATGGCCCGGCATTGGGCCAGCACGGCACTGACAGAGCTGCGGCCTCACTTAGATGGCAATGAGGATTTTGAAGCTCAGCTACCAGCGGGCAGTTCAGCGGCAGGCTGCAAGTCGCTTGGCGACCAAGTGCGGCGTGACTTTTATCTGCACTTGAGGGCTGCTGCCGCCCCGGCCCGGGGCTGCCTGTTGTTTGTCTGCAACTGTGATGCCAGACAGTTGTCAGGCGGCCACACATGCACAGGGTGGCTGGAGTTGGATTGGCAGGGGTGCAAGGTTGTCGCATCAGCGCACTCGTGCAGCTGTGCAGCAAAGATCAGGTCAGGACCTGCATGTCCATTTGGAGGGTGCTGGCACTGTGCTGCTGCAACCAATGCCCAGTGCCGGACTAGAGGAAAGATGATGTGCCTCATCTGCACAGGCCCAACACCCGAGTGGCTGCCGGTGTGCAAGTGGACCGTCCGCCGGGGTGCGCCTCTGCAGTGTCAGTGCCAGATGGGATCCTGTGGTCCGACCAGCCGAACCCGTCGCTGCCTGCCAGCATGACGGACGTGCAGGGCTTGAGAGCGCACCACCGGCTGCTGGACGTGCTGCAGGTGGAGCTGGATGCTGCCAAAACACGGGTGATGGTCACACCGGTGCTGGGCCGAGTGCCAGTTAAGCAGGGCGACCTGGCAGCTGTGCAAGTCCGGCTGCACGACATCACGGGGCCCACTCTGGTGGTGGTGTGCAGCACCGCCCCTCAGCTCAAGCGGGCTGTGGAGGTGGCAATGGGCGAGGTGCAAGTGGGGGCTGCTGAGCCTGCTTT